CACTCCCCCAAACTCCATCCACCCCACCCCACCCCCCACCTCCTCTGCAGATACCAAATCTGAGGTTACTCAAGTCCCTGATAAAAAATGACATAGTATTGGGAATTTCCTGGTGGTCCAGTGGTTAGGACTCTGCAATTCCACTGCTGGGGGCCCAGGTTTGATCCCTGATTGAGGAACTAATCCCTCAAGACCTGTGGTGAGGCTAAAAATAAAAGCCACAGTATTTGCACATTGTGAGCTTACACTGTGGGCTTCCCTGGTGGCGCAGATAGTAAAGAATCTGCCTGCAGTTCAGGAGACTCAGGTTTGAGCCCTAGGTTGGGAAGATCTCCTGGAGAAGGGAATGGCCACTCACTCCAGTATTCTTGCCTGGAGAATCCCATGGAGAGAAACCTGGTGGGCTGAGTCATGGGGTCACAAAGAGTCAGACACGACTGGGCAACTTTTGCTTTTTCACTTTCCCTTATGCTGGATTTATCTATTTATTCTTGGCCACACCGATGTAGGAGATAGATGGGCTCCAGGTTAGATATTTACAACTAGCCTCTTGTTTGCATTCCCTGAGACAAGAGATGGCTGGGCTCCAGGTAAAGCATTTACAATCAGCCTCCTGTTTGTCCTCCAAAATGGAAGTAATAACAGAAACAGGGTAAATAGCCAGTGTTTGTGTCTAGTAAACACCTTAAGGTAATAGTCATGGCAAGGACAAAGAGGGGCAAAACCCTATTTGAGTAAAGGATTAAGGGATGTCCAGTCCCTCATCTTTTGGGACAAGGGAGACACTACACAAGCACAAAAAGCCTCCTTGTGGGTCAAAAGTCAAGGGATAACGCCAGGCCTTCTTGAGTCTTGCTCCTCCCAGAAGCCTTCACTTCAAGACCCAACTTGGTTGAGGGGTTCATGTGCACTCCAGCAGAGGGTCCCAGGGTAGATCAGGTGTGGGGAAAAAAGCCAGATAATTGGCCTGAAGGAAGACATAGACTCAGAAGAACAGACTTCTATAAATGTGACCTCACTGCCTCTTTACTTTGCTGTTTCTCCTCACTAGGGGGAATACCCACACGCTTTCTCTCCCTCTGTGCATCTCTGCCTTGCTCCTATCTCAACTGAACAAATCGTTTTTCTGTGTGCTCACCCACTAGTTGTGCTATGTTTCTCATAATAAACTGTACCTGCATTTACAGTTTCCGCCTCCATGATAAATGCGTTTTTCACTGGGGGCAAGGATCCAGGGAAAATTAGCTTCTAGCTCCTAGCCCTTGCTGGTCTGGTGGCTAAGATTCCTGGTTTTCATCCGGGCTACCCAGATTCAATACCTGGGTAGGGAATTAGATCTCACTTCACACCATAGCTCACTGGTGCCTCACCAAGATCAGCACCATTCAGACTGGGGGAACTTAGTTCCCTGAACTGGGATCCAACTCAGGCCCCTGGCAGTGAGAGCTCGGAGTCCTAACCACTGGACTGCTGGGAATGCTCAGTCCTGCCCAATACTTTAAACCATCTCTAGATTACTAATAATTCCTAATACAATGTGAATGCTACCTAAAGAGTTCTAAATACAAAGTATATGTTGTGAAAATAATTGCAAATACAAAGTAAATGTTGTGTAAATAGTTATAAATACAATGTAAATACTATGTAAGTAGTTGCCAGTGCAGCAAATACAAGCTATGCCTTTTGGAAGTTTCTGGAATATTTTTAAAATATATATATTTTGAAGAGTTCTCTGGAGCTCCCTGGTGGTCTGGACCTCCCTGGTGGTACGGTGAAGAATCTGCCTGCAATACAGGAGGCCAGCGTTTGATCCCTGGGTCAGGAAGATCCCCTGGAGAAGGAAATGGCTACCCACTCCAGTAATCTTGCCTGGGAAATCCCATGAACAGAGGAACCTGGCAGGCTACTGTCCATGACACGACTGAGCGACTTTCGCTGGTGGTCTAGTGGTTAGTGTTTGTAGCTTCATAGCTGTGGTTCAATCCCTGCTCTGGGAATTCCCTCAAACCTTGTGGTACCCCCCCCCCCAAAAATTTATTTATTTATTTATTTTTGACCACAGTTGGTTGAACCTGCCTGTGTGGAGGGCCTACCTGCATATTGATTCCTACCCAGTGTATCCCGGTTGGGGAGACAGGCAGCCCTGGCCACCCCATCTCAGTTCCTAGCTCCAGCCTCTGGGGATCAGATTTGAGCCCAGGATGAGTTAAGATCAGACCTGTAATAAGTCCAGGAAGTATGGCCCAAGCCTGTTTGTCCCTGGCCTTTTATCTCCCCAGGCAGCTGGGGAAGGGACGGCCCCCCACTGTGTAAACATCTACCCAGGACTCAGGGATCCCCATGTTCAAGTAGAGAAAAAGGAGAGAGGAAGAGGAAGGCGGAGAGGGATTGGCCTTAGGGGCCTCCTAGACTCCTCTGGGGCTGCTGGACTGAGCTCAGAGTCAAACCGCAGAGCAGAGATGTGCAGTGTCAGCACCAGATCAGTTCCAGATCATTTTTTCAATCCTTTCATTTCATAGGTCTGGAGACTGACTGTCACTCCTTTCCTCCAGGCAGCTCTGCCCGCACAGGCTGGGGTTAAGGGAGGTGGAGCATTTTCTCTTTTATGGGTTCCTAGAATCAGGCCATTGAGCTAGGGGACTCCTTCCTGCAATCCAGTGGGGTTGGGTTCCAGCTCACCTCTCCACCCCCTTGGAAACTTTAAAAATGAAGGGGTGGAGGGGAGTAGCTATGCCCAGCTGAATGGGCCCATCCATTTTAACAATAATTAGGGAGGTGGGAAGCTTCAAACAGATTAATTATATAGGCTAGATCTCAACCTTGATAAACCTCCCTTTGTATTTACTTAGCATCTTTACCCAGGGGCCATAAAGACGGAGACAGGGAGTGCCACCCGGGCAGGCAGCCTTGAGGATGGAGAGGGAGTTAACAGGAGCCTGCCAGGGGAACAGGAAGAGAATTCATTAGAGCCAAGTTGCAGGTTCTCAGGCTGCTTAGTCACTAGGCCCCTGGACTGACTGGTCATTAGCGCTCTCACTGACAGCAGGCACTCACAGACCTTGATCATAAGGAGGACACAGGAGTAAGGCTAGGGCAAGGTAGAGGCTGGTGCTCTGCCTGGTGGGTCTCACCTAGGCATCATAGAAACCGTATGAAGCTCTGGATACAAAGGTCAAAGCATACAGCATATAAAAGGAATATCTGCACGGAAAGCCCAGATATTATAAATAATGATGGGGTCGAAGGTGAAACCCCATGGAGGCCTCTAAAGGATGGCTTGACTCGGCCTATACCCAGGTCCTCCATTTAACTAACTACTGTGGATTAAACACTTACTATGTAGCAAGCTCTGGGGAGATGCTGGGGATACCCAGATAAATAAAGTACAGTCCTTGACTTCAAGAAGTCCCCTGGTCTGGTTCACCTCTGATCTTCCTGCAGCACTGAGCTCTCGAAAGCTTCGCTTAAAAGATAGAGTGAATCACCAAGTGTTTTACACTATCTAAAGTGCTTTGATGACCATTATCTCCTCCCAGCAACTAGGTGAGAGGCTAAACAAATGGATGTTCTTATTTGACAGAGGAAGCTCCTGCAATTCAGAGGAGTGAAAGTCAAGTGACTTGCTCAAGGTTTCTAGAAGAGACAAGGCAGAGGTTGCAGGATGCAGATCGCCAATCCAGCTCTGCGTCAGGCTCATGTGCCGCCTGACTGTGCGCCTTCCGTGTGGTGGACTGTAGTCAGGTCTTGCTTTTATTTCCAGCCTTCTTGTGTAATAGTCCAAACTCATCTCCCTCTTGTCTAGCTCAGTGCCCCTTATCTCTCACACAGCAACCAAAGCACTTCTCATCTTCCTTTCTCTTGCTTAAATGCTTAACACCTCTCACTGGTTCCCCTTCCCATCACCGGTACTCCAGGACAAAGTCCACTTTCCTTTGCAATTTTTATGAGGCCCTAGGCCTGCCCCAGCCCACCTCTGCAGCTGCAGCTTCCCAAGTCCCATTAGTTCGGGAATATGTCTTAAGGGCTTCCCCCATGGCTTCCTGGCCCTGTGCAAGGAAGACCCTTCCACTTTCTACTTGAAGAACTTCAACTCATTGGCAAGACCTGGTAAAATGTCACTGGGCAGCATTCTCTGACCTAACTTCTCAGTCCCCACGAGGCTGCAAACATCTGAAAACATGAACGACTGTAAATGTCCAGGCTGTGGATTTAGCCTAGCCTAGCTAAAGTCTTTCTCTCCGTATGACCTTGATCTTAACTTCCTCCACTCAAAACTGGGGATGAGTACCAGCTCAGATGTGAGGACTCGTCTGGTGGAGGGAGGGGGGAGCGTCCAGGCTCCTGAGCCGTTGTGGCTCAGCACAAAGTTCCGTGGGCCCTGACACTTCAGTTAGCCACCTAACACCTTGCCTTTTGTCACCATGCCTTAGGCTACCTTCCACGCCCTCCTCAAGAAACCTTGGGCACCCCAATCCCACCCCTTCGAGGGACAACGGGAGGCTCAGTGAGGGGTCGCTGAGGGTCAGGTTACCACTGCAGATTACAGACCGCGTGGTCATTTGGCAGACTTGCAACAGGAAACCATTGGGGGAGGAGACAGTATGCAATAGCAGTCCTAGACTAGTCTCCACCCAAGGTCAAGGCGCACGCCCGACGGGCGGTGAACCGCAAGGACGCCTCTCCGTAGCCCCGCCCCTCGAGGGCGCCCGAAGCCTATTTCTCGCCAAAGCCAGGCGAGTTCCCTTTAAGGCGTTCCAGAAAGTCACTGCGTTGGTACACAGAGAATGAGGCGTGGCATAATTTGTCCCTCGCGGGCCTTCGTGGGCCGTCCCGGGCGCGAGGGCGGGGCAGAGAAGCGGCGGTGGGGTCAAAGGCTACAGCGCGCACCACGTGGGCCGGTGACTCCGTCCTTCCCGCAGCGGCAGCGGCGCGCAGGGCACTTAGGTTAGTGGCGCGGCGGGCGGCGCGGATAGCCGAGGCGAACGCCGGCTCCCGCCGCCATGGTCATCAAAACGGACGAGTTGCCGGCGGCAGCCCCGGCGGACAGCGCTCGGGAGCCCAGCTCGCAGGCCGGTGTCAAGGGGCGGCCAGGAGCGGCGGGTGAGTGGGGCCGGGGCCAGGGGGCAGCCGGGCGGGAGGCTGGACCGGGCCGAGTGCGCGGGTGGGTTTGGGGTGGCGCGGGGACCGCCGCCTTTTCTCCGTGCCTGACCGGGTCGCATCTCGCCGAGCCCTCCACCGGGCGCCCCCGCCCTGAAGGTCACCTTCACTGTCGCCCCCGGCTGCGGCCCGGACTTCACACACGTGGGATCCCGGGGAGGGTAGCGGCGGCGAACACACGCGTGCCAGATCGCGGGGACACGTGCGCGCACACGCGGTTTCGGGGTGCGCCGGCTCCGCAGATCGGTGGACTCGGCGGCCCCACCCCCTACGCTCCTGGGATTGGGGAACTCCCCCGACTGGGGTCACTTGACACTTGCACCGTCTAGCACCCCCTTGCCGTCAGGATCCTTAGCGTTCCCTGTGCACCCGGCTGCAGCCTTGCGAGTTCGGCATAGCTTGGGACTTCTCAGGCTTGGTCTGTGGGAAGACCGCAAGTTGAGGGTGTGTGTTTTGAGAGGGGGTTTCTGTGGTTCATTCCCAGAGGCAAGGCTTTAACCCCTGTTATGCAGACTCTGATCTCCGCCCTGTTAGATGTTGGCCTGGTGGGCAGACTTGGAGTGGGGTATGTCTACCTATGTATGGGGGCAAAGCCAAACTCCTTGGCAGGAGGTAGTGTTTGTGCCAGAACTTGATCATTAACCCGCCTTATTGCGAAAAGTGGGTCAGCCCAGAGTTGCTGTTTTTAAGGCAAAGGTCGTCAGCATGGAGTTGATCTCCCAGCTCTTCCCCGTGGGGACTGTGTGGCATTGACTTTGGGAGTGGCCACAGTTTTTTCCTGTGGGGACTGCCTCTCTCCGGGGCTTCCTCTGTTCCTTCCATCACATCTTTGACTCCAGCCCTGAGGCCCGGGAGCCCCTTCGCAGCCCCTGAGCTGTCTTCTTCAAATCTTTCTCAGAGCCTCAGGGCTGGGATATGTTCCTCTCTGCCCTGGGTGGCTGTGGGAGTATGGAACCAACCCTGCCTTCCACTCCCACAACTCTCCTCAAAAGACACTTGTCATCTTCAACTCCCTTCCCAGCTTCAGTGAGTCAGGATCAGAGCAGGGCTAGATGGGCTCTCTGGCCCTGTAACAGGCCACAACCAGGTTCGTTGGTGGTGGGGCATAGGTACTGTGGCAGCCTTGCTGATTGCCTAAAGAAGGCCAAGGTTTGGGCAGAGTGACAAATGCTGATGACTCCAACCTGCCAGGCTTCACCCCAGTGAGGCTCTGTCTGAATCAGTGGAGCAGGATAGATAAGAGCAGGCTGATTTCCTCTCCAGCAGAGAGACCCGAAGAGATGAAGCGACTTGCCCAAGGTCACACAGCCATTTAGCATTTGGATTTCCATCTCCTGGCCAGATTGCCAAGGCTGCCTTAGCCTCTCCCAGAGGAGGCTGGGAGAGGCATGTGGGCTGGGCTGGGATGCTGAAAACTCAGGGTTCGGGAGAGAGGAGAGTTGGAGAATTTCTCTGAGGGACTCTGTTTGGGGCAACCTGGGTCAGGGGCACATCCAGCTAGCTGTTCATTTGGGGGAAACTGGAAGCCTACTAGCAGGTGGAACATGGGCTCTCGAACCCTCTGGGAAGCTTGTATAGAGCCAGGACTTAAATTCCAGCCAGTCTGAATTTATTCAAAGGAGGATTGGGCTTTTATGGAGACTCTTCCCAACAGACCCTCACCCAGGTTTCTGACCTCAGAACCCAGCTTTAGCTCTTTAGCCTTCTTGAGGAAGTGATCAAGGCCTTTTGTGGAGGGAGCAGGGGGAACCAAGGGTCAGTTGCCTTCTTGGGAATAAAGCTGCTTTTAGGGGTTAAGAGAACAGGCAGGTTTTTCAAGTTCATGGTGGTGTGTCGATTTCCTTCTTCCTAGGGGAGGATTGCTTGGAGTCGAGGCCAGGAGTGGAGAGGCAGGGGGCTGGCAGACTGGAGAGGAGCTTGGGAGCTTACGGGAGCTACTGGATGGTAACCCCCCAGAGCTCTTCTTTTGGGTGGGCCTGAGCAGAGTAGCTCAGGGAACACTAGATCCTTTCCAGGCCCTGCAGACCTGATTTTGACCTGGGTGGGGATGGGAAGGAGGCAAGCAGATGCCTACTTCCTTGGGGCCCTCCTTAGGCTGCCTGCCCCCACCCCTTTCTCTTGAAGCCCCAGGTTCCTGGGATGGAATGATCCCTTATGAGGCCTACTTCCTGCCCAGAGCCTCACCTGCGGAGGTTTTGACTGGGGCGGGGCCTGGCCCTGGCACAGTCTACTGAGTGAGGCCATGCCAGGCTGAAGAATGCAAACAGGGGCCACTTGGGATGGCTTCCATTTCTTTTCTAACTCCTCTCTGCTGCCCATTGGATCTGTTTTCTTCCAGGTCAGGGCAGGGCTGTGCTTTATGTCTTCATTCTGGTCTGGCCAGTGAAGACTTGGGGTGGGGGGTGTGCCATGCAACCCCTTCCCCTTCTGCAGAGGATCACTCTTCTCCTTCCCTACAGCCCACATCCTCAGGGGTTTCCACCTGGGGTAAGAGGACATGGGTGTGGAGGCTTGGCTATGGATGGAGGAAGGGGGTCCTGTTAACCTGGTGGGTGCTACAGCCTAGGGGGTGGCGCTCAGGCCTGGGCTTGGACAACTGACAGACCTGGTCTTTTCTTGACCTGGCCTGATTGCCTGTTGCCTCTGCAACCTTGGGCAGCCTGCTCTTACTCAACATTCTGGAGTCTCAGTTTATCCTCAGGTGAGATGGGCTGGTCGAGCTGATGGAGGGACCTGCTGTGAACCGGGCCTAGAGTGAGCCTTGGCTCTGTGGTAACCAGGATGGGGGTGGTGGAAGCAGCTCGTCAGGGGTCATTGCCAGGCTGCCCCGCCCCACCCTCCTCTCCAGAGGGTTAGGGCGTGTTTGGGAGGGTAGTGGGAGCAGAGGGGCCCTGCCTGGCGCTCTGTACCTTCCGCTCAGGGTGTGTGAGCCAGAAACCCTTGGTGGGGGCTGCAGTGAGCCGGGGGCCTGCTGCGTGCCAGCCCTTCAGGGCTGTCTGGACAGGACTGGAGGGGAGGGAAGGGGCCTGAAGAGGCCTGGCTCCCCGCCCCCACCCTGGTTAGTATGGATGCCGGAGCAGCCCTGCCTGGGCCCTGGCAACAAGTCAGAGGCCCTGGGAAGGCGCCCTGGCGAGGCTGGGCATGTTCCTTCTCCACCGCCGCCGGGCCTTGGGTCTCTTGCTGCCAGCTCTGTTTTCCCCAGGGGAGAGAATTGGTTTTCTCCCGGCAGCGCAGGGGCTGCTGGGAAGGGATTTCGGAGCCTGCCAGCTCCTTGGTGGAGCTGGAGGCCGGGCCCCGGTGCAGTTGTCCTCTAGGAGTCTGGGGGCCCCTCCGCCCTCCCCCCAGAACGGGTGTCTCCAAGGAAGGGGAGAGCTGCCAGGTCACCTGCAGGGGGCAGCGTGAGCCAGAGGCCCCCCGCCGGCCACTTGACCCGGGAGGAGGCAGGCAGGGCGCTCAGCGGCTGCCAGTGGACAGGGGGTGGCCATCCCATGGCCTGGGCCCGGGTCTGCGCCAGCTGTTGCCGGCAGCTGGCAGAAGCAGTCCTGCCCACCCCCACTGGGGTTGGGGCAGAGGAGAGGACCCCCTTGCTGGGCCCTACCCCTGCCAGCCAGTCACCGGGGCCCTCGATCCGGAGGGTCCAAGGTAGCCCAGACACTGGGTTCTCTCGCCCCACGAACTGCTTCAGCAGCAGTGACCCCCTTTGGGGGGGATCCAGGGAAGCAGGCCTGAGCCCTGGTGGCAGCTTTACCCGGGGTCCTGGAGCCTCCAGGGCCTCTTGGCCCACAGCCGTCCTTCTGGCCGACCTTGAGCAGGATGCAAGGCAGGGGGAGTGTGCCCTTCCCAGGGCCGCCCCGGCAGGCCTGGCCCCGCTGAAACCCGAAGCCAACCAGAGCTCCAGCCCGGGGCCGACCAGCTGCATGGGGGCCAGGCTGGAGGCCCAGCCTGGAACAAGGGACATGGGCAGTGCCGGGCCTGAGCCGCAGAGCGGGGGGCCTCGCTGCCATGGAGGTCCCGTGAGTCCAGAAGCCAGGAGGGGGCGGCGGCCGGCCACACCAGGTGGGCTGTGGGGGCAGTGAGCCGGCCTCGTGGGGAGGTCACTGGGCCTTGATCCAGCTGATCTGACCTCAGGGTCCTTTGGAGGAAAGGGGAAGGGCAGACGGGCTGCCCTTATGGGAGTGGAGGCCCCTGGAAATCAGCCACACGCCTTTGAGATCTGGTAGGGCGTTGCGTGCCCCCTGGGGGGCAACTGGTGTATGGCGCCTGCCTCCTGGGCAGGGTCGCTGGGCCAGAGAGGGGGAGCGGGAGCTATGACCGCCCTGTCCTCCCGACCCAGACTCGGAGAGCTCAGGACACCTGTCTGGGCCCAGGTCTCTGCCTTCCCACTTTTGGGGTCTCAGTCCTCAAAGCGGCTGTGCCATGTTGGGCGTCCCGAAGGCTCGTCAGGCAGCACAGCCTTCCTCAGGGACTCAGTGGGGGGAAGGCCGCCTCAAACCTGCCACGTCTCTTGCTGCATTTTGAAAACTGACCGACCACTACCCATCTCCCACCCCCCTGTTCTGTCTGCCTTGTCACAGAGGCGGCCAGGTTCTCCCATCTGGGCTGGCTGCTCACTTTCTGGGGGCTGGGGGTCACCGTGTCTGGGGCTGTGGGTTCACTCAGAGGAGAGGTTTTTGTGGTTCTTTGGGGGAGGAGGATGGGACTGAGTGCCTGGCGGTTGTGTTTATCACTAAGTTGAGGGGACGCGGTAAGAGGGAGTGGCTTTTCTCCATGTCAGCACCCCCCCACCCCCGCCTCGTGTGCCCTTGTGTGCCAGGCTTATCTGGACTTTCTACCCTTTCCCAAGGTGCTGGTGGGTCTGTAGAGCCCACACAGCTCTGTGGAGATGTGCCCCATCCCTGCTTCTCACAGCAGGGTAGGGATGAGGAGGTGGAGTCCAGAGGGGATCGCTGGGGTCCGGAGCAGAGCCAGGCGAGCAGGTCTATCTGGAGCTCAGAGATAAGCACGGGGCCAGTGTGGCTGCAAGGTGGACCCAGGAGGGAGGGCCCCGCGGGCTGACGGGGCATCCAGGCAGGCCCCTGTTGTGCTGGAGGGCTTCTGTGGGTTCCTTCTCTGCTCCCCAGGATCGGGGTGGGGGTCTCCTCTGTTCCCCCTAGTTCCTGGGGGAGAAATGGAAGGTGTTGTCACCTGCTCCTCCTCTCCCCACATGTGAGTCCATTGCTAGTCACAGATGTTAGGCTTTTACAGTAATTAATTCATTAGTTCAGTGCCTTTCTGTTGAGAGGGCAGGAAAGGAGGAGGGAGACAGAGCTGCTAGTGTGAACAGCCACCCCAAGTGCAGTGGGACACTGTTGTCAGGAGTCATTGGTTGGACTTCCAGGAAGGAGGTTTATTTCACCTGGGCCTTGACGGATGAGTAGGAGCCTGCCAGACGGAGTGGTATGTAGGGGGCAGCACACCAAAGCACAGGTAGGAGGCAAGATGTGTGGCCTGTTCTGAGATTCCTGAGTAGTTTGGGGGTAGCTGTACCTTGATGGAGAGAATGCAGGGGCTAAGAGGGGCTTTAGACCCAAGACATTTGGATCCTGTAAACAGTGGAGAGTGTTAGAACATTCTAAGTGGTACCTTTTTATTGTTTTTGGAAGCAGCAAAATGGCTGTGTTTATTTGATTCTGTGGGTTTTCATTTACTCATATTAACCATTAATTATGCAGGTTTACCATTAATTGAAACATTTTATGTTTTTACTATGGTCACATTTAACATCAACTTAAAAAGCACTTTATTTCAAAAAGCGATTTTCTCTAGTGACCAGAATTTCATTCGTGGAAGCCCAAGTGTTGTCTTTGGATCTCATTTAAGCTACTAATCTAAGGATATGGTCATACCATGAAAATGAAGATTACTTGTCGATTTCGAATATAAAATATGAACAGTTCACAAAGTTGCTCGGAGAATTTGCTCCCTACAGTCTCAGGGTCCTAGTTTTCTCAAAAAGATCCTCATACGTTTTTTTTTTCTAAATCATACCCTAAAATAAACACTAGTTAAGCAGTTGTGTCATACAGTAAGGAAAGTACAGACTTATAAGGAAAAAGTTAAATCACTTAATCCTGCTCAAGGAAAGCCACGAATCCTGAGTCTTTTAGTCTTTCCACTGGCAAAGATGTAAATGTGCATATACACACATAGTTAGGACTAGTACATATACTAGGTGTTTTTGTTTTTGTTTTTTAAGTACAGTTGACTTTCAGTGTTAAGGGTTAAAAAAATTTTTTTTTATTGCACTGGGTCTTCATGGCTGCTTGCAGGCTTTATCTGGTGTAATATGTAGCGGACTTTATCTTACAGGTGGGGGCTACTCTTCATTGTGTTGCACGGGCTTCTCACTGTGTTAGCTTCTCTTGTTAGTGTAGCACAGGCTCTAGACGCACAAACTTCAGTAGTTGCAGCTCACGGGCTCAGTGTTGTGGAACACCGGCTTAGCTGTTCCACAGCATGTGGAATCTTCCCAGACCAGGGGTCGAACCCCTGTTCCCTGCATTGGCAGGCGGATTCTTATCCACTGCACGAGCAGGGAAGTCCCTGTGATGTTATATTAATTTCAGGTGTACAGCAAGTGGTATTCTTGAAATAGGGGAAATGGCCTGCTGTCGTCCTGCGATTAGGTTGGGGCGTGTTGGGGGTTATTGCAGAGCGGGGGCTGGTTTGTGGAAGATGGTAAGTTCCATGCTGACGAGATGAGTCTGGCGAGGCCTTGGGGATGACCACACATTGAAAACCTGGATGGAAGCCTGGATGGGTCACATGAGCCGTGAGGTGGGAGGGCATTTGGAACCACAGATAAGGGTGAGATGGAGATGAGGAGTAGCTGGGGCCCGGGACACCCACAGCGGGACTGCGGGAGAAGTCGAGCTGGATAGGAAGGGACCAGAATGTCCATCAGGGAAGAGGGGGGAGTGAATGTGAGGAGGGTTGTTGAAGCCACTTGCATTGGTAACTCTGGGAGAGTCAACTGGGGGGCCTAATCACATGGATGCTAGACGGGGGTCCTGAGGAGAGATGGGAAGCGAGTGCCCTGGCTGTGGGGGGGCACAGGCAGGAGTCTGCAGGTGGCCAGAGAGGGGTTGCCGGGAGGAGTGGTGTGCCTGGGGTATGGTGGGCCTGGCACAGGGCCAGGTCTGGGGCGGATAGGCAGACACCATTCTGTGGGGCGGTGCCCACTCTGGCTGTAGGCCGACCTCACCAGCAAGGCCCATCTGACTCAGCCCCCTCGTCCCCTGCAGAGCTGCCTTCAGTCATGCTGTTGAATGGGGACTGCCCAGAGAGCCTGAAGAAGGAAGAACGGGCTGCGGAACCGCCCCGGGAAAACGGGCTCGATGAGAGCGAGCCAGGAGAGGAGACCCCCGGACAGGAAGTCATCGTCATTCAGGACACAGGCTTTTCGGTGAAGATCCTGGCTCCTGGGGTCGAGCCCTTCTCCCTCCAGGTAAGACAGCAGAGGGGCGCTGGGGGCCGGGGCCTGTGAGGGGGCTGAGGGTGGGGTCACAGGCAGGAAACTGAGGGTCCTCTGCCTTCCAGGGCCACTCACGTGGTAGACATGGGAGTCCAGGTTCAAACTGTCACCCCACTGCTAGGGGCCAGATCCCAGCTGGAACTGCCAGCCCTGTCTCGGGATGGATACAGTGGCTGGGTAGTGCTGGGGTCCCAGGGCTCCCCAGCCTTGGGTACGTCAACTCTCTGGCTGGAGTTTGACTATCTGCTTGAGAGAAGAGGGGTTTCCCTGGTGGTTCAGGGTTAACTCTGCCTGCAATGCAAGAGACCCTGGTTTGATCCCCTGGAGAAGGGGATGGTTGTCCACTCCGGCATTCTTGCCTGGAGAATCCCATGGACAGAGGAGCCTGGAGGGCTACAGTCCACGGGGCTGCAAAGAGTCAGACACAGCTGAGCAACGAACACTTTTACTTTGGGAGCAGTGAGGTATCGGGCGTCTCCAACAGCAGAGCCTCCCCAGAAGTCTTGCAAACCGACTCATTGGGGAACCAGATGAGGCCTCTTGCATCTTCTAGACCCACAGGCTTGAGCCCCAAGCCATACCTTCCTGAAAGGGGAAGTCTTAGGGAGGAGGCAAGATGGCTGTTTTCCTTTCTTTGTTCTTACACCTCTGCTCTGTTCAGAGTCTGCAGGAGAATAGTTGAAGCCTGTGGGTAATGAGGCCAGGCTCTGTCCTGCACATGTATGTACACCCTGCACACATACGCACACACACACGCACGCACACAGGTGCAGGTGGGCACAGTACTTATGAGCAGGGCCTGGACTTTAAAATAAAAGCCACAAAGGGGAAAATGGTATTTGAAGCATTGATTTTAGGGACCCAGGTACTTTGGGCTGGGAAAACCGGTATGTTTTCACCAGGGTGGTGGGGGCCTTCTTCCTGGCAGGTATCACCCCAGGAGATGGTGCAGGAGATCCACCAGGTGCTCATGGACCGTGAAGACACATGTCACCGCACCTGCTTCTCATTGCACCTGGATGGCAACATGCTGGACCACTTCTCAGAGCTGCGCAGTGTGGAGGGGCTGCAGGAGGGCTCGGTGCTACGCGTGGTAGAAGGTTTGTCTGGAAGTCGAGCAGCTCCCCAAGGAGGGGATGGGACACGAGGAGGCGGGGCCAGGTGGCACTCTACCCATCCCGCCCCTCCCGCTGGCATCTTGGTATCTCTGTGTCATGGATGAGCGTGTAGAGGCTTGGGGCAGTGTTGGGCTTGTGGCAGCAGGACAGGAGCAGAGGCCTACTTCTCTGGTCCTCTCTGGCACACCCTCCCGCTTCAGGGGTTAAATATCAGAGTCATGATTTTAAAAAAAACCAAAATAACAGTAAAGTGCTTGAAATCTGCCCATACAAATTTTATAGCGATAAAAGTTCAGTCTCTTAAGGAAACTGAAGTTTCATGGTTCGTGAATAGGAAAGTCAGGCCCCGTGTGGAGCAATCATCTGGCATGATGAGGCTGGTCTATTTGTTAAAATAAAAAAGAAAAGATCCCGTAAACTTGGGTTACCTGGGGAGAGTGGCACAGAGGTTCCAGGCATGTCACCCAAAGTACCAATGTGGGGGAAAAGTAACTCGGCTGTGCCCAGACTTATCCAATTACGGGTCCTCCCACCTGTCTCTGAAGAGCCTTCATTATGATTTCCTGAAACGTGAGTTGAGGAGCAAGGTTGAGTCCTGTAAATCCTCTGGCTGCCCTAGGGGAGGGCTGCCCCGAGAGAACTGGACTGAGCCTGTGGGGACAACCTAGTCAACCACAGTGACACTCGTGGACAGAGAATTGGGGCTTCTGTGGGCTGCCGTGGCCTGTGTGCACTTCCAGAGGTATTTCTTGTGCCCTTTGGCAGAAGGTTCTTTGCAAACAAGGATCCCTGCTGGTAGGCAGATATGTGTGTGGAAAGCAGATTTCCAGCCTAGGTGTTCAAAAGGGAATCTGCAAGTGAAAGCCTAAAATTGAAAATCAGTGCTACCCCTGCTTGTGCTCAGGCCGACTGCTCTCCGCTGGGGAGGCTGTTGCCCTGGTAACGCCTTGCCCCTCCCTCCCGACAGAGCCGTACACAGTGCGAGAAGCCCGCATCCACGTGCGCCACGTTCGAGACCTGCTCAAGAGCCTAGACCCCTCCGATGCCTTCAATGGGGTTGACTGCAACTCCTTGTCCTTCCTGAGTGTCTTTACCGATGGCGACCTGGGAGGTGCGGGAGGCGTTGGGGATGGCTGTTGGGCAGAGGGGCTGGGAGCAAGTTGAATTAGGGCGGGTGAAGGGGGCTGGGGGCCTCAGCCTTCCTACCGGAGGGAAGCGGGGCCAGAGGCACCCAGGCCTGAGCCACTTGAGCTGGGGAGGATGTTGGCCCCCCGGGCCGTTGTGTGCTGACCACCAGCCTCGGGTCCCTCAGACAGCGGGAAGCGGAAGAAAGGCTTGGAGATGGACCCCATCGACTGCACACCGCCCGAATACATCCTTCCTGGGAGCCGGGAGCGGCCATTGTGTCCTCTGCAGCCCCAGAACCGGGACTGGAAGGTGGGAGCTGGTCTCTGGGGATGGGGGCAGGGGACCACCCACCAGGAAGCATGGCCTGCTCACCCTCAGCCATTGCCACAGCCCCTGCAGTGCCTGAAGGTGCTCACCATGAGCGGCTGGAACCCGCCCCCTGGGAACCGCAGGATGCATGGGGACCTCATGTACCTGTTCGTAATCACAGCTGAGGACCGGCAAGTCAGCATCACAGCCTCCACCCGGGGATTTTACCTGAACCAGTGAGTACCTGTGCAACCCAAGGGGAGTCCTTGGGCAGCCGCCTGGGGGGCACCCGGCACAGTGATCACCCTCTCTCTGCAGGTCCACGGCATACCACTTCAACCCCAAGCCTGCCAGCCCCCGCTTCCTCAGCCATTCCCTGGTGGAGCTGCTCAACCAGATCAGCCCAACCTTCAAAAAAAACTTTGCCGCCCTGCAGAAGAAAAGGTAATGCCTCGGCCTGTCGGTCCCTCATCTCCCAGGGTGGGTGACCTGGACGGCCTGGAATCTAGCGCTTCTGCCCTAAGAAGCTGGGCCCCCAGCATTTCAGAGCCTCCCTCTCGAGGCAGCAGTCCTGGGACAGGTGGCCGTGCGCCCCTGCTGGACTCTCTAGGGACAGAGCCTTAGTGGGGAGGCGGTGCGGCCTCGAAGAAGGGGCCCAGGGCAGAGCTCTGGGCTCACTGGGCCACCCCGTCTCCCCTCTGCTTGCTGCAGGGTCCAGCGCCACCCCTTCGAGAGGATCGCCACCCCATTCCAGGTGTACAGCTGGACAGCGCCCCAGGCGGAGCACGCCATGGACTGCGTGCGGGCGGAGGATGCCTACACCTCCCGGCTGGGCTACGAGGAGCACATTCCCGGACAGGTGCCTGCGGCCGTCCCCGGCTCCTCTCTCCCTTCCCCTCTGGGGCCCAGGCTGGGTTCTCAGTGCCTGTGGGGCTGCACAGGGTGGCAGGGAGCGGAACTGCCCCCCGCAGGTGGTGGGGGCTCAGGCTGAGCTGGCCTGTCCCTCCTGGTCCCTCTGCAGACCCGGGACTGGAACGAGGAGCTGCAGACCACACGGGAGCTGCCTCGGAAAAACCTGCCTGAGCGACTGCTGCGAGAAAGAGCCATATTCAAGGTGCCCGTGGCCCCTCAGGCCTGACCAGCAGCCTCAGGCCCGCCTGCCACCTCCCCACTGGTTTTCTGTGGATAAGAGGGAAGCTGGATCAGGGCTTCTGTGGATAAGGGCCTTCAGAGACCTTCCAGGTCATTCTGCCACTTTCTGCCTCCCAGCAGACAGCCCCAGCTCCTTTTTCTGGCCTCTCTGAGATTTAGAGTCTGGGGGTGGGGGTTGGGGGCAGGGAGCCACCTCCAGGATGGGCTGAGTGATGCCCACGCCCATTTTTCTCCCAACACAGCCATTTGGGGACCTGGGCACACGTGTCCTCCTGTGATGTTCTCAGTGCTTTTGCTGACGGAGATGAGGAAAAAGCAGTGCTTTGGGGGTGGGGGGGAAAGGCTTTAAAGTCTCCCATAATTTTACTAGAGATGATAATGGTAAAGAAATATAAATGTCCTGGGTGCTCACTTTGCCAGGATCTGGGCCAGGTGCCGTGTAGGCTTGTAATCTCCTGGACACCTTATAAACGGCGATGGCTTTTTTTGGCTGCACTGCTAGGCATATGGGATCTGAGTTCCCCCACCAGGAATGGAACCCATGCCCCCTGCAGTGGAAGCGTGGACTCTTAACCACTGGACCGCCAGGGAAGGCCCCTGAAGGTCGATACTTTTATGTCATCTATAGACATGAAGACGGATGTGAGAGGTGATCCAGCAGAGATCACCTGGCACATAGTTGGTGGGTCCCAGACCCACCCAAGTCCTCCTGCCCCCTGTAATCACTGAGCTCTGCTGTCTCTCCGAGTATTTGATCAAAGTGAAAGTCGCTCAGTCATGCCCAGCTCCTTTTGACCCCATGGACTATACAGCCCATGGAATTCTCCAGGCCAGAATACTGGAGTGGGTAACTATTTCCTTCTTCAGGGTTTCTTCCCAACCCGGGGATGGAATCCGTGTCTCCTGCATTGCAGGCGGATTCTTTACCAGCTGAGCCATCAGGGAAGTCCATAAATGTTACATTTTTTCCAACTGGGGTTTCTGGCGCTTTTCCAAGCATGAGAAAACTTCATCCTGCTTACCTCCGCCAGCCCTGGGTGAGCTTGGCCAGGTGAGATGAACGCACAATAGCTCCGTCACCCTCTGACCTCCGACCCTCAGGTGCACAGTGACTTCACGGCGGCAGCCACGCGGGGCGCCATGGCGGTCATCGACGGCAACGTGATGGCCATCAACCCCAGCGAGGAGACCAAGATGCAGATGTTCATTTGGAACAACATCTTCTTCAGCCTGGGCTTCGATGTTCGCGACCACTACAAGGACTTCGGCGGGGACGTGGCGGCCTACGTGGCGCCCACCAACGACCTGAACGGCGTGCGCACGTACAACGCGGTGGACGTGGAGGGGCTGTACACGCTGGGCACGGTGGTGGTGGATTACCGTGGCTACCGGGTCACAGCCCAGTCCATCATCCCCGGCATCCTGGAGCGGGACCAGGAGCAGAGTGTCATCTACGGCTCCATTGACTTCGGCAAGACGGTGGTGTCGCACCCGCGGTACCTGGAGCTGCTGGAGCGCACGAGCCGGCCCCTCAAGATCCTGAGGCACCGGGTGCTCAACGACCGGGACGAGGAGGTGGAGCTCTGCTCCTCCGTGGAGTGCAAGGGCATCATCGGCAACGACGGGCGCCACTACATCCTGGACCTGCTGCGCACCTTCCCCCCCGACCTCAACTTCCTGCCCGTGCCCGGCGAGGCCCTGCCGGAGGAGTGCACCCGCGCCGGCTTCCCCCGCGCACACCGCCACAAGCTGTGCTGTCTGCGCCAGGAGCTGGTGGACGCCTTCGTGGAGCACAGGTGGGGCGCGGGCCAGTGGCTGCAGCCTCGGGCAGGGAGGGCGGTGGTGGCATCTGACCCCAGATGGGGGAGGCTTTGGGAAGTGAAGAGGATGATCTCTGGGCCCATCACTGTGGCATCCAGCTCCCCCACACAGACACCCAAGAGCTTCATGTAGATGAGAAACTAGTGAGACCAGTGGCTTTCTACTGAAATGGTGCTATTTCCTCGAGAAGCATGTGGACATCTGCTTAGGTGTTTTCAAACCTCCCAGTGCCATGGCTGTGGGGTGGGGGAATACAGGTGGGGTCCCTGCTCTTGGCGGTCAGTGGTTAGGGGCCAGCCCGTCAAATGTCCCATGCCAGGAATAACTCTCCCTCTCAAAAAGCCAGTGGGGTCCCTGGCGCGCTCAGGAGCCCTGGCCTGTGTGGTGAGCCAGCCCCCCACCCCCACATACACACCCAACTGTCTTCCTGTCTAGGAAGATCTCTGTTTTTGCTGTGACCTGCCAAAACGTGGTAGAATGGCTGGGCTGGCAAGCATGCATGGACACTTGCTCCATGGACAGGACAGGATGTGTCCCCGGCCCCGACATCCTTAACCCCAGCAGGGCAGGAGCCTGGCTCAGGCCCCCCCACGGCCAACAGGAAGCTCCTAGATGCTCCTCTCCCATCCCCTGCTCCACCCCACCCACTGTACCCCAGGTATCTGCTCTTCATGAAGCTGGCAGCCCTACAGCTGATGCAGCAGAAGGCCAGCAAGATGGAGAGCCCCACGTCACTGGAGAACGGCGACGCCCCATCCTCGGAGTCCAAGCCTGAAGACCCTCCAGCCCCCGAGGCAGGAGGCGAGGAGGAGGGCAGCAGTGCTAGTGGCCTGGCCAAGGTGAAGGAGCTGGCGGAGACCATTGCCTCGGACGACGGGACAGGTGGGGCTGCTGGGGGAGCCGCAGGCCAGGGGAGGCTCAGGCTGCTACCCAGCCCCCATCCGTGGGGGAGGCAGGGCAGCCCCTAACAGGCTGTGTCTTCACAGCAGACCCTCGGAGTCGGGAGGTGATCCGCAACGCATGCAAAGCTGTGGGTTCCATCAGCAGCACGGCCTTCGATGTCCGCTTCAACCCTGACATCTTCTCGCCGGGTGAGTGGCCCTCGGGGACCCCAGTGCTGGGGGCCTACTTGCCTCTCTGAGTGCTGCTGTCTGTCTGTGTGTGGTGCCCGCCTCTCTTCTGCTGGCTCACACCTCCTTGCTCTCCCCGCCTGCAGGAGTGCGCTTCCCTGAGTCCTGCCAGGAGGAGGTTCGGGACCAGAAGCAGCTGCTGAAAGACGCCGCTGCCTTCCTGCTCTCCTGCCAGATACCTGGCTTGGTGAGGGCGGGGTGGGGCGGGGGTGGCAGGGGTCACAGGCTCTGGGGCCTCATTCGCCTCTGGGAGCTTGTGGAGCCTTTGCAGGAGTGACCTAAGCCTCCTGACCTGCGAGGCAGACAAGAGTTCTCGTTCCCAGAATAGGGCCAGTGACACAAAGGGGCCAAGGCAGGCATCAGCTGTGCCCTGGGTGCCCTCCCTTGGGGGCTGGCAGCGGGGGTCTGGTCCTCCAAAGTCCCCGTGTGAGGGGATGGCAGACGGCGTGGGAGCATCTTTACCCACCCCCACCCCCCAACAAGCTTGGTACGGAGTCCCTGTGTGTCCGGAGGGCTTGCTCCCCGCCGAGGCGGCCCTGAGTTCAGGTGTCGTGCTTGTCCCCAGATCTTTGAGCTGAGCCTGCCGTGCCCGCTGCTCCAGGGCCCACGAGGCAAGGCTCGTGGCCCTGCTCCTTCCTGTGCCGTCACAGGGGAGCCTTGCTGCCCCCTCATTGCTGCTCCCCCGCTGGTGGTCTCAGCAGTCACAGGGGTGACAGTGGCCTGTGCGGAAGGCCGGGCATGAGAGCTCACATCCTTACTGCTCGCATCCCTTCTCTCCTTTCCTCTCCCTGACTGGGAGCAGGGAGTCTCAGTCCCTTCCTTTCTCAAGGCCCCAGAGTAGCAGGAGCCCCCACTGGGAAGACCCGGGGCAGGAGGGGGTGGAGGGCCTGGGCTGGGGGGGCCTGACCCGCTGCAGCCCGCAGGTGAAGGACTTCACAGACCACGCGGTGCTGCCCATGGACGGGGCCACGCTGGCCGAGGTGATGCGCCAGCGTGGCATCAACATGCGCTACCTGGGCAAGGTGCTGGACTTGGTGATGCAGAGCCCGGCCCGCGACCAGCTGGACCACATCCACGTGAGTGGTGCCCGGGCCGGCTGAGAGACGGAGGGGGGCAGGGGGCTGGGCTGGAGGCCTGGAGCCCAACCCAGACACCCCCCTTTTTCTCTGAACCCATGCAGAAAATTGGCATTGGAGAGCTCATCACCCGCTCTGCCAAGCACATCTTCAAGACGTACCTACAGGTACTGCCGCTCCCCCCAGCCCGGCTCAGGGAGGCATCTGGGGAGCCCGGTGATGACAGCGGCCCCACCTCCCTTGCAGGGAGTCGAGCTCTCAGGGCTCTCGGCTGCCATCAGCCACTTCCTGAACTGCTTCCTGAGCTCCTACCCCAACCCCGTGGCCCACCTGCCCGCCGACGAGCTCATCTCCAAGAAGAGGAACAGGAGGAGGCGAAACCGGCCTCCAGGGGCAGCGGATAACACAGCCTGGGCCGTCATGACCCCCCAGGAGCTTTGGAAGAACATCTGCCAGGAGGCCAAGAACTACTTTGACTTCAGCCTCGAGTGGTATGTGAGCGGGTATGGAGCTGCGGGAGACCTCTTGCTTGGGGAATTGGGAGAGGGGGCCCAGTGCCTAGGGGCTCGGGTGGAGAGGGGCAGATGGTGCTGGGCTGCTCGGGCCCACCCTCCGCTCCTCCCCAGTGAGACAGTGGACCAGGCTGTGGAGACCTATGGGCTGCAGAAGATCACGCTGCTGCGGGAGATCTCCCTGAAAACTGGCATCCAGGTGGGCCGGGTTTGGAGCGTCCTCAGGGTCCCCGGGGCCTCGGGTGAAGCTGGTGGGGCAGTGCTGGCCACGTGAGCCTGGGCTGAGGCTCCCTGTGGGTGTCGGGCGGGGCCCCCAGATCCTGCTGAAGGAGTACAGCTTCGACAGCCGCCACAAGCCCGCCTTCACGGAGGAGGACGTGCTCAACATCTTCCCCGTGGTCAAGCACGTCAACCCCAAGGCCTCGGACGCCTTCCACTTCTTTCAGAGCGGGCAGGCCAAAGTACAGCAGGGTGCGTGCCAGGTGCGGCCGGCGGGGGGGTGGGGGTCGGGGGGGGGTGGAGAGGGCCCCCCCAGCCCAAACCCAGGCCAGCCCTGACCTTCCGCCCCCGGGTGCCCTGCAGGCTTCCTAAAGGAGGGATGTGAGCTTATCAATGAGGCCCTGAACCTGTTTAACAACGTGTATGGGGCCATGCACGTGGAAATCTGTGCCTGCCTGCGCCTGCTTGCCCGCCTCCACTACATCATGGGTGACTACGCCGAGGTGGGCTTGTGCACCTTCTGGGGGGTGGTCAGCTGGGCCCCGGGTCGTGTTCTCATCCTCCTGGCCCAGCAGGATGAGGGGGTCCAGGCAGGTGAAAGTGGAGCCCTGTCATCCCAGAGATGCTGCTTACCTCCGGGCCCCCCCAGGAGGAGCAGGTGGAAACCATGGGATTTGCTTGCTCTGCCTGTACATCCCTTCCCCGCCCCCCAGTTCCGCCTGCCCCAACAGCTGTGTCCTTCGGAGAGCTGCGGTGCCCGTGGACACAGTGGGAGTGATGCCAGGGCCTTCCTTCCCTTCACAGGGACAAGCAAGGGGCACGTTCTCTCTCAGTACCTTGTAAGCGCCCTGGAAGCTGCTCAGGGACTGTGCTGTTGGCTGTACTGTCCTGGGGCCTGGTGGTATTCACCTGCCTTGTTAGCCCCTGGGTTTTAGGCTGCCTCCGGTGCGGACACACTGCAGGTGCTCCACTCGTCTCCAGCCATAGGACTCCTTGTTTTTTTTTCACCTGTATATGCCTCCTTGTCTTAGCATGAATATTTTACTTTTAGTACAACTTTAGATTTGTATGCATATGTTTGCATAGACTAAGACAAGTGTTTTGTTTTTTTGTTTTTTTTTTCCATTTATTTTTATTAGTTGGAGGCTAATTACCTTACAACATTGCAGTGGTTTTTGTCATACATTGAAATGAATTAGCCATGGATTTACATGTATTCCCCATCCCGGTCCCCCCTCCCACTTCCCTCTCCACCCGATCCCTCTGGGTCTTCCCAGTGCACCAGGCCCGAGCACTAAGGCAAGTGTTTTAAAATGTGAAGCAGCCTTGGGGTGGGGTGTAGACTTCCCTGGTCACAGCAGCTGGATTTTGACCACTTCTTTGCCTCCTTGGTGCAAAGTAAAAATAGAAATTGCAGCCAGAGATGAAGAGACCTGAGCTGCCGAGGAGGCTCATGGGTGAGATAGACAGACAGACAGGGTGTGGGGCGGTGCCACCTGGGGATGACAGCCCCCCACCTCTCCCAGGCCCTCAGTAACCAGCAGAAGGCCGTGCTAATGAGTGAGCGAGTGATGGGCATCGAGCACCCCAACACCATCCAGGAATATGTGAGTAGCCGGGGGGGGGGGGTGGGGGGGTGGGGGGCGGGGCCGGCGGCCGCCCTGACCTGACCTGTCTGCACCGGCAGATGCACCTGGCGCTCTACTGTTTCGCCAGTAGCCAGCTGTCCACCGCCCTGAGCCTGCTGTACCGCGCCCGCTACCTCACACTGCTCGTGTTCGGGGAGGACCACCCTGAGATGGCGCTGCTGGACGTGAGTGCTGGGGAGGGGCAGCGGGACTAGCCTCCATCCCAGGGGAGTGGGAGCTGACCAGGGCCCTCCCGACTGCCCCCAGAACAACATCGGGCTGGTGCTGCACGGAGTGATGGAGTATGACCTATCGCTGCGCTTCCTGGAGAATGCGCTGGCCGTCAGCACCAAGTACCACGGGCCCAAGTCCCTCAAGGTGGCCCTCAGGTGAGGCTGCGCTGGGTCAGGGGGTAGGGAGATCCCGGGCCACAGGGTCCTAGAAAGCACTTGAATCGAGGGTGGGCGCGGGATCCAGCACTCTGCCCTCCATCTGACTCTTGAGGAACTTTCTCTCACCTTCCATCTCTTCTCTGAGCCCTGGACTTGGCTCTTACCCCTGGAGAGGTCCCGGAGTGGGATCTCGAGCAGCCCGCACACGCCCCCATCAGTGCGCATCGGCCCGTTCACATCCCTCCCTCGCCCCCACCCCACGCCCTGCCTCCCTGCAGCCACCACCTGGTCGCCCGGGTCTATGAGAGCAAAGCCGAGTTCCGCTCCGCGCTGCAGCACGAGAAGGAAGGCTACACCATCTACAAGACGCAGGTGGGCCAGGGCCGGGCATGCGGCAGGGTCGGGGGTGGGGCTGAGGGCGGCCCTCATCTCTTCCCGCCCGCCCCCCACAGCTGGGCGAGGACCACGAGAAGACCAAGGAGAGCTCCGAGTACCTCAAGTGCCTGACCCAGCAGGCCGTGGCCCTGCAGCGCACCATGAACGAAATCTACCGCAACGGCTCCAGCGCCAACATCCCGCCCCTCAAGGTGGGTCTCCGAGCGGGGCTGGGTGGGCTCCCCCACTCCCCGGCCTCGGTGGCTCATGCTCCCCGCGCCCCTCAGTTCACAGCCCCCAGCATGGCCAGCGTCTTGGAGCAGCTGAACGTCATCAACGGCATCCTCTTCATTCCTCTCAGGTGAGGCCCCACTTGGACGTTGGCCGTTACTTTCTTGGTTTATTAACTACAGGATTGAGGTGGCTCATACTGAGAAGTATAGCCCTCAGTGACTCCTTCCAGAAATACTCTGCATTATGACGCAAACACAGATCTGTCATCTTTTTTACCCCTTAAGGCACAAAGTTGTAGCAAACCAGGCACATAGGTATTTTTCTCCTGCACTTGATTGATCTTGGCAATCATATCATGTCAGTATGTAAAGAGGTAAAGAACCAATGCAGGAGACTTTAAAGAAATGCTGGTTCAGTCCCTGGGTTGGGAAGATCTCCTGGAGAAGGGCATGGAAACCCACTCCAGTATTCTTACCTGGAGAATCCCATGGACAGAGGAACCTGGGGGGCTACAGTCCATGGGGTTGCAGAGTTGGCCACAACTGAAGCTACTCAGCAGGCATGCAAAGAGCAGCTTCGTTCTTTCTCTGAGCTCCTGCTCTGTCAGTAGGGACGTGCCTTAGCGCTGAGCCCTGGAGGGGTCCCTGTGCAGCTCTTACACAAGCAGCAACAACCCTGCCCTCGAAAGCCCCTTGTCCCGTCTCCCTCTTACCTGTATGGGGCCTGGGTTTGGTCCAGTCAGCTTTAGGGCATTTACAGCGGACCTGCTCCACATTGCAGCTGTATTCTGGGTGTGATCCGCAATAGGAGTGGCCAGAGTGCACAGGGTTTAGGCTGGGTGTGAAGGCTGGATGGGAGCCAGGCCTTCACTGGAGGCTGGCAGGTGTGTGGAGTTCTTACTTTCACTGCAGAAAGTGCAGAGCCTAATCTTGTCCTAAGTTGAAGCAAAGCCAGGAAGGTGACTAAGGGCCCAGGCCCACCCTGATGCCCACCCTCCGCCCCATCCTTTTACTCAGCCAAAAAGACTTGGAGAATCTGAAAGCTGAAGTGGCGCGGCGGCAGCAGCTCCAGGAGGCCAGCAAGAATAGGGATAAGGCCGAGGAGCCCATAGCCACCGAGCCGGAGTCCGCGGGGGCCTCAGAGGATACGGCTGCCCAGCCCCCAGCTGCCAAGGACCCTTCCTCCCCGAGCTTGCAGGGGTAGAAAGGGAGAGACAGACGGACAGTCAGTCAGCTGCCCCCGGTGATCCAGACTCCAGGAGAAGGTGGCACGCCCTGCACATCAGGAGAGGAATCAAGTCCCTCTTCCTCCACGTTTCCAACCCCATCCCCACCCCCAGCATCCTCCTGGGACCCGGGCCTGCCTGAACCCCGAGATGTTCTTGCACTGGTTCAACGAATACACGCTGCAGAGGCTTCATGGAAGACATGCGAACGAAGTGTGTGGGCATCAGTTCCCGGCTGGGGGACAGGTGCCTCTGCGGGTCCCCTTCCTTGAGCAGGTGTGTGCGAGTACGTCTGTGCCCGCGAGTGCCCTGACCCGTCCTTCCTGACTTGTACATAGCCCCGAGCCGGTCCCCAGTGCGTGATGCGCGGATGGGCTTTCTCAGGTCATTTGTACGTGTGACATTACGGCTGCTGCTTCTGCCACTGCCCCTGGGGCCGACGCGGCTCAAAGCCCAGGTCCGAAGCCAAAAAGAGGGGCGCTTTTCTGCGTCCTGGGATTGAGGGGGCGACCTGAGCTCTGTGGCAGGGCTGGAGGCCTGGGGAGCACTTTAGCTTCATGGCGGGGTGAGGGCCGCAGCAGCTTTACTGATCGTGGTTGGGGCCTGGCCTGGCTGTGCTGGAGGTGGGGAAAGGGGTGGGCAGGGGCAGTTCCCCAGACACCCCTGTGCCCAGCCCTGGCTTGTCGGCCCTCGGCCACAGCAGGAGGTGCTGCCTCCTGCTCCCTGCACCCCAGCTGGGGCTAACCTTGGGGTCTAGTCTGAATGTATTCTCCCTGTTGAACCTCAGCTGCCTAACGCACAGTGGGGGGGGGGGGCCTAGAGGAACTAGGGCTGAATCATGGATCCTGGGGGAAGAGTTACAAATACAGGAGTGATTACTTGGTGGAGCCTAGCTCCTTACCTGGACCTCGGCCACACTGGCACCTTCGACGAGAGGAGCCCTGGGGGTGGCAGGGAGGGCCCTGCTGAAGGCTGCGGCCCCCATGGGCCCCAGCTCCCCCTCTGCTGCTGGCCTGTGCTGCTTCTCAGCGGGCTGGGGGAGACGGCCGTCCTTCTGAACTGGAGGGAGCTGTCCCCGCGCTGGGGCCTCTGCCTGGTGGCTTGGTGGGGAGTTGCTTATGGGAATGGTCTGTCCGAACACCTTGTTTCAAAGGGAGTGGGTGAGAGCTAGCAAGCGAGGCATCCCCACGGCTGATCAAGAACTTTTTCTTGTTTTTAAACCATCACGTCTTCATTTCACATTGGAATAAAGTGAGTTTTTGAAACCTGCTGTCCCAGCCTCTCCTGCGTGTTCTGTACCAGTCTTGTTCGATGGTGATGATTATTGCCAGAAGCAGTACCTAGTAAAAAGAGTTGAAAGCTCTTTAGGTCAAATTCAGGATTTTCCTTATAATGTCACTTAAGTGGGAGGAAGGGGGTGGACAGAGCCGCAGGCGCTCAGCTGGGGCTTACCAGTCTGCTGGTGACTAGACCTATGGCAAGGGGACGTGGATGAACATCAGAAAGGAAACAAGGAGACTGTCTCCTCTAAAGAACTCTGTGGTGCTGGCTGGGGTGAGGGACGTTTCCAGGTGAGGCCCCAGGCCCTGATAGGCTGTTGCACACCTAACTGGGCATCACCCTTGTCCCTGCGCTTGTCAGGAGGACTGGGCACCAACCCCAGAGGACTGGAGTAGAGGGATGTCTGAAGTTTGCCATCCTATATAGGCTCTTTAGATCTAATGTACTGGGGGGAGCAGAGCCCGCCTAGGTGGGCTTGAGGGACAGGACCTGTGAAGAGGAGGGAAGGGTTGTGGGGAGACCTGTCTCGAGGTATCTACAGCTGTAGTTCTGAGCAGACAGGCGCACAGCCTCATGTGGAACTCGAATGCCTCTGAATACTTGGAGAGTGCTTTGTATGTGACATTATGGAAACAAAAATTCCGGTCCTGATGTCTGTTAGTTTTCTTGAGCCAACTGGAGGACATCCATGAGATTTCCTCCTAAGCGCTGCTTAGCGATGCTCCCTCCCGCCTGCTTCCCACCCCTTTACTGTCTCCTGGTTGTGTTCTAAACATGCACCCCTTGTAGCCTTTATCCTGTGAACACTAGCATGTGTCTCACAGCAGGTGAACGTGGGGGCATCAGCTTGTAAAAGCTGAGAAGGGATCAGGATTAATTACTGTTGTCCAGTCACCTGAGAGGCCCATTTTTCATGGTTGATCCCTTAAGCTTATTAGTGATGGCCAGTACCTCTGAGAACACAAATGACAAGGGGCTGTTTTATACAGGACAGAGAGGTGTGGAATCCACCCATTCTCCTATTGGTTGACAGTGATTTTTTTAGAAAGGGTGAACAGTGGCATCCAGGAAGGGTTAGGGTGAGAACTGACATGCAGGTCTGTTCTTGGAGATGAGGTTGAAGGTGTGTCAACTACGCCCGCCTGCCCCTCCTTGTGGCCCCCAGGCTGGCCTTGCACTTTCTGCTCTCCTTTTCTTGCCTGGTTGCATTTCTTAGTTAACATGGTGTTAACTTTTGCAACTTAAAAAATAGTTTTAAAAGAGTTGTTATTAAGCTGTATCATGTCTCCACTCCTGCCCTCCAAACTCAGTTATTTTTGGCCGCACCAGACCACATGGAGAACTCCCCCAGGGATCAAACCGGTGCTTTCTACAGAGGAGGTGTGGAGTCTTAACTGCTAGATCACCAGGGAAGTCCTGTTTGCTTTTTTTCAATTGAAGTATAGTTGATTTATTAATACAATGTTGTCTATCTGGTGTACAGCAAAGTGACTGTTATGCATAGATAGATATGTGTTATTTTTCATATTCTTTTCCCTTATGGTTTATTAAGGATCCCTGTGCTCACAATGGGGGCTTCCCTGGTGGCTCTGATGGCAAAGAATCTGCTGGCAATGCAGCATACCTGGGTCCCATCGCTGGGTCGAGAAGATGCCAATAGGACCATGTTGTTTATGTATTTTATTTATGGTAGTTTGTATCTGCTAATCCCAAGCTCTTAATTTATTCCTCTCCCCCCACCCCCACCCCCCCCACCCCACCCCCCCCCCCACCCCACCCCCCGCCGCTTTCCCTTTGGTAACCTTTATTTTCTATGTCTGAGTCAGTTTCTGTTTTGTAAATAAGTTCATTTGTGTTGTATTTTAGATTCCACAAGTAAGAGATACATGGTATTTGCTGGATTATGTGGCAACTGTTTTACCTTTTTAAGGAACCACCCTGCTGTTTTCCATACTAGCTGCACCAATTTACATGCTCACCAATACTATGGGGGTTTTTCCTTTTCTCCATGCCCTCTCCAACATTTATTGTTTTAATCTTTTTTTATTTATTTACTTGGCTGCATCAGGTCTTAGTTGCAGAGCACAGGATCTTCACTGTGTCACATGGGCTCTTTCATTGTGGCACACAGACCTTCTAGTTGTGGTTTAGTAGCCCCACGGCATCTGGGATATTAGTTCCCCTTCTAGGGATCGAACCAGCATCCCCTTTGTTGCACTGTACCACCAGGGAAGTCCCAGTAATCTTTTTAATGATGGCCATCTTGACCGGTGTGAAGTGATACTGCATTGTAATTTTGATTTGCATCTTATTAGCTTTGTTGAGTATCTTTTCATATGCCTGTTGGCCATCTGTATGTGGGAAAATGTCTATTTAGTTCTTATTCCCCTGTTTTGATTGGGTTGTTTGGTTTTTATGTAATTTGAGTTGTATGAACTGTTTGTAAATTTTGGAAACTAAGCCCCTGTCAGTGGCATTTTTCATTTTAAATATGAATATTGTGAGAACTGGTAGACTTAGTTGAGTAATTCCTACACATCCTAAAGGTGAGAATAAGGTATCCTGATGTGGCCTGAGTATTTTCTGGTCCCAACTTCCAGTGTCAACACCAGCAATCAAACAAGGCATGCATGATCAGGACACCTTACAGAGGACCAGGGGGCCTCCTCAAATGGAAACAACTACATTAAACAGGCAAATCCACTGATTAAAGAACTCACTGAGATGCAAGCCATTCAGGGCACAATTACCCTAAGAATAGCCTTTCTGTGTTGTGAGTGTGGGCAACAGTTCTTACCCGTTCCCAGCCTCTACCTACCCCATTCCTAATGGTCACCCCGCAGTGGAGTTGGCTGTGGTGACAGAGAAGACCTCAGGGGTGGGTGGGATGAGGGTCTTTCCTGTATTACTTACAGTAAGCTAAAGAATGTTTGTTTGAAAGAGGTCAGAAGGCCCTCCTTACACTTATTAGATGCTTACACTTAATATAAGCAGAACCAGTTAAGGGAAAGAGCTAGTGCATTTGGGGTCAAGTCCTAGTTCACTCTTAAATTAGCTCCATACCCTTGGCACGTGTATGGCCTCACCCTAAAAGAGCCTGTTTTCTTGTAGGTAAAAATGTGCTAATATCCACCAGCAGGGGGGTCTATGTGAGGAAGAGGGTGTGTTGAGAAGTGTTGACACCTGACAGGCATTCAAATTTGGGGTATCGTCACTTCTATTCAGAGGACTGGTGACGAAGTGGGGATGAGGACAAAGTGTTTTGAGAAAGTTTTGAGAAAGTGATGGTTATTATTCTTAGTAAGAGTGATCTCAAAACATTCCTAGGAGTGTGCATGATGTGTCTAAATAGTTTCAGGAAAATGCAGCCTTTAAATGTGAGTATGGCAAAGTAAAGTGTTGAACTTATTCACTCAAAAATTCACTTTTAGTTATGTTTCTGATATGGTGAGGAAAAAAAATGAAGTGTTTCCATTCAGCCCCTTCATTTACTGGATTTATGTATACAATATCTTGGAAAGGCAGTTACTTTGGTGTAAGAAAATCCTTGCCCTTTTTCCTGGAATGTAACTATCCCATGTGTTTACATAAGAAATAATAAACTGGAGATGGGAATGGGAAGAAAAAAATACAAAGGAACAAATCCATGTGTCAAACTGTCAGTGAAAAAGTAAAGAGGTCTGAGTTCAAACCCCAGCTGGAGGGCCCATGGACCAGTGACTTTTGTCTAAATGTTCTCAATGAAAACATAGTTCAGCCATTTAGATCAGTGGTTCTCAAACTTATCAGAACCAGCTGGATGGTCTGTTACAACAGATTTGCTGGATCTCACCTGTCCATCGGCTTCCCAGGTGACACAGTGGTAAAGAACCTGCCTGCCAATGCAGGAGATGCAAGAGACATGAGTTCAATCCCTGGATTGGGAAGATCCCCTGGAGGGGATAGGCAACCCACTCCATTATTCTTACTTGGAAAATCCCATGGACAGAGGAGCCTGGCGGGCTATATAGTCCACGGGGTTGCAAAAAGTTTGGACACAACTGAGCACATACACACACACACCACCACACCTGTCTATAGGGTCGCAGAGTCAGACATGACTGAAGCAACTAAGCATGTACCCATGCACATGTTGGATATAGTAGGTCTAAGCTGGAGCCTGAGAACTTGCATTTTTGATGAGGTCCCAGATGACACTGATGCTGGAATGGGGAGCACACAGTTTCCTCAGCAGTGGAGAACTGCCCGTCTACTCGCAAGACAAGTTTCACCAGACTAACAGGGACAGAGCTGCCACACCCAGGATACAGCACCAGTTCTCCACCAAGTCTTCCTGACCTCATCCTCCATCAGGAACACATGCAACCATCAGTCTTGTTAAGAAGCTTGGTGTGTGACAAACCAGTAGGTTTTGATCAGCTAAGTGCACTTCAGGATAGTGACACTCAAGCTGGAACTCCACCCTGAGGGAACGTGGTCAGGCTCATCATCTGAACCTCAGACTAGGGGAAAAGAGGAGCCCTGTGACGAAATGGAAAAGCTGCAAGACCCAGGAAACTGTTCTCTTCAAGCAAATTACTTGGTGCTCTTGGCCCAGCCTCTCATTTGGAGGGGCACCGGGGTAGAGAAGCCACTTTCCTAAAAGGCAGGATGACAACTGGGCTGTTAAGAAGCCACTACACCATCAACTTGTCCTTTGCTGAGACCTCACAGGTGCCCTAAAGATGCTATGGATGCTAGCTGGGCAGTAGTACAGAGATGAAAAGACAGCACATAGAAAGCCATGGGGCATCAGGGGGAAAGGGTGGGGATTCTTGGTACATTTTGACCAATGGATAGGAGTTTGAACAAACTCCAGGAGATGGTGAAGGACAGGGAAGCCTGGTGTGCTTCAGTCCAAGGGGTCGCAAAGAGTGGATACAACTGAGCGACTTAACTATCTCCAAGAATCCAAGACCACTGGGCAGAAGAAAAAGGCTCACTCATTACCAAGACAAAAAGTAGTAAAGTCACTTCTCCCCGGGGGCGCTGACCCCCACTTGAGGACCAAATCCTTGCAAGGGGGTTGTAAAATGTCCTTCCTGGCCTCAGCTGTAGCCACTGTCAGAAACATCTGCTGGAGGGAAGGGCAGAGCCTTAGAAAACGGCCTGAAACTGCTCGACCCAGTGGGCTGTGCGACCCGCTGCAGCTGTGCTCCTAGCTCCCTCCCACAGATCGCGTGAAGGAAGCAGACAGCAAAGGCAGAGCTGGCCCTGTCCTAATATAAGGCCCTGCCGCGCTGCCAGCAACGTGCTTCTTACTCTATGACTGGTGCTGAACACAACCCTGCTTCCTATTAGGACTCAATTTAAAAGGTTCTGAATCTGTGCACAAAAAGACGGGAAAAATAAAAATCACATCTAGTTTTATAGGCATTTAATAGTTTACCAATTGGTACAATAAGATTTTTTTAATATGCAGAAAACATGAATAAATCTTGTTTTACACAGTCTGAGAGCAACAAATCTTACTGTAAAACACAAGAGCAATATTATATACATTCCTTTACTGATTTTTTTAATTGTGTCAATATCTTCAGTTAACTCTTACAATCTGGGGAACGGTTTTCTCCAATCACCACCTCTGTAACTGTTCGTTCGCATGAAATCAACATTCGCCTTCACGTCAGTGTCAGGATCAACTTCTAAACTCGAAGATTGTGTGTGTGTTTCTACCATCTTCAGAGTGAGCTTTAGGGACGCCTGAAGGATAGGCAGGACAAGAAAGCAGCTACTTACATGATAGAGTGGAAAGATTAAAAGGCCAGTTCAGTCCAGTCGTGACTTGTAAATCCAGCTCGCCCTCCCCCCACCCCACTGAAAAAAACTGAAACCTTTTCCACTGATTTGTACATGTTGCTTCTCTACCAGGTGAGTCTTCTCTGCACCACCTAGGTTAGTTAACACACTGGACTTATATACAGCTGGACGGAATAAACTACCTTTTCAGTGCTGTTTCCTTCAACAGTTTTACTTTCGGTTGCTTAAGGACAATCAAGCCACCACTGTCATCAAAACGAAATAGTCTTCTAGATAGTTTTTCTTTAAATAAATTAAAAAAAAACTATTTAATGAGTGATATTATCTGGAAGTTCACACAGAAACAGAAAGAGGCAAACGAGGGCAGGGCACTGACACTAAGGAGACCGGGCTTGGTGACCTAGAGCCAAAGCTTCCGGAGACTACAGCGAGTGCCCACAGCCCGGACGGCATGCTAACATTAGTGAGTTCTGCAGCAGTGCTCCGGGCACACAACTGGTCACACCACAATGGACAGAACAGGACAGTCTCAGTCTCCTACTAAAGTGCAAGATGCCATGTCAAAAAGCAACTACTCTCCAAGCCATGTCTACAACCAGCTTCCGCGGCTCGCGCTGTCAGGAGTGCGGCCAGCACGACTTGGGCATGTTCTGTTAGGGTGGCACTGGAATGTCTGTTTTTCACACACACAAAAGGGCAATCATCATTGGAGGATGCAGTTCTACCAGCTTTTTATTTCTTAAATAAGTGGCCAATTTGATTGAGAAAGTGACAAAGCAGCAGTGAACCTCTAAACCAATTAATAAATTCCTCTACTTACAATCCAAACCAGTAACCTCATCATTGTACTTATCCCAGGCAAGGCACAGGGTTAGACAGCAGACAGAGAAAACGCAGGAAACAGGAAGAAAGGGCATCAACAGGGCAGTGTCAAACAACAGTGCAGGAAACCTCTGCAAATCTGCTTCCGGATTGTGGATGGATCATTCTCCCCCTCCCTCATTATTCAAACAGGGCTCTTTACACTTGGATCCAGTTGAGGACCATCCCTGAGATTCGACATTCGCTGCTTCGGAAGTGGAGGATGTCTGGGAACTCAACTAAGCAGCAGGCCGTGGCACTCTCCCAACACGGATGACTTGGTTTACAGTGACGGTTTCTCCTCGTGTGTCAGTGAAGTCACTGCAGGCTGCACAGAAAAACCCAGCGACAGCGGCTTTGTTTCCTCCTAAATCGGTACCATTTTTTTTTTTTCCTTTATTGTTCGTATCTAGGAGTGATTTCTAGATGTTGTGGCTTACCCTTGAACAATTCGTGTTGCTACATGCTAAAAACGAATTAAAATACAAGACATTTATACATGTACAAACAAATGTTAAAGATGCACCATTTCTATGTATTTATATTTCTTAAAGTAGGACAGGAAATAGCAGCAAACGAGAACAAAGATAATCTTCCATAGCTTCTGTAGAAAAATCCAGTCAGAACAGCTAAGAGGAAATGAAAAAAAGACTTCTCAATGTGAGCAGGGTTGTGAGGCAATATTGTCCTGAAAGTTATCCTACTGTATTTAAGAAATTAGCTTAAGTTGTCATTTTTGTCCTCAAAAATAGTCATTAGTTTTTAAAACACTTTTCCTTCCAGAGACATCTCTCAGGAATCATTAAAAACAAGCCAACAAACAAAAAGACACAAGCTAGACATAAAGCTGCTTCTAGTAAATATATGGCCTATTCTCTGGGTGTGTATCTATCTACAGGACATTAACTCTAACCCTTTGTCTTTTTCAGGAACCAAATTTCCACTGAATACTAAAAAGAATATTTTAAAAAAATCATGTGTAAATGGATAAATGCAATCCAAGATAAATTTCTTTGTTAAACTTTGTTATTTCATTTTCTGTTAACTTTTCAAATGACCTTCTTTAAAAAAAATGTTGGTTAGCTAAGCAGTGGGATTATTTATTAATCTGCAATGGAATATTGTTTCCAAAGTCATAGATAAAAATTCTCTTAAACCTACTTGTAGTGACTTTGGATCACAATATACAGCATATCAGGGATGTGTAAAATGCTCAACAGCCAAATTGGGGGTGGGGGTGATAATGGAAGTGATTTTCTTTAGCTGGGAAAAATTCCCACGGAGTCAGACCTAGTTTTCAGAAGCGTTAAGATCAAAAAGGATTTGTTCTAAAGCATGGTATTTCCACAGCAAGATTTATTCTATTTATATGTTTTAGCACTTCTTCAAAAACCCAGGACCCAAGGACATGGAGGTTGTATGTGTGTGTGTGATATATATATACATATACAGACTTATCCACTCATAGATAGGCCTATATACTCATAAACATTTATATATAAACAAAAGGTGAAAACACAGTACATTTTTATGCACGCTCCATTAAACCCTGTCTTTTTTAATAAACTTGTAAAACACAGTTCAAATCGCTATCAGATTCATGTTGAAGAACAAACTGCTGTATTTCTCCCACTCCCTTAAAATGGGCAAACATAACCTTTTCAATATTTCTTTGTCATTATGTTATGCACATTGCACATCCCTAAAAAACATCAAAAACAAATAGTGATTTGTACCATGACACACTCAATGGGAAGATTAAAATCTACTTGGGAATCACATCACTATACAGTCTAATAGTATGGAGAATACAACTAGAAGTGTGTCTAGTGTGGAAAAGAGAAGCTTAGAGTATTACAGTGTTTTTTTTAACCTGTTTACAAAGCAGTAAGACCCAAATGAAATAAATGATTTGTTATTAGTTGCTGAGATTTTTCTTATTTCAGATTTACAGTCATTTTCTTACATAAATATACCACTAGCCTTTGCTTGATAGGCTGCCAAAACAAATGTATCCCATTGATTTGGGAAATGTGTCATGACAAAAATTCCAATATGTAATCCCCATTAATTACATAGATGGTTCAGAAGATTTTGAATTGTAGCCTTATTATCTAACATCCTTAAAGAAGATTTATTAAGCACACTTAAGTGATGTTACATAGATACACATTTCAGAAAAAGCCCTAATAAACCACCACTTTCCCCCAAATGAGGCCATCAAGTCAGGCACCAACAGACAGCAGAAAGAAAAACAGGAATTAATAATCCAACATAAAATGACACTGTCAACTATTCAGTTTAGTGCCCTAGTTCAATTTATTCAACTTCTGCCTTCTTAGGCCTGGTGTGACCAATGCCAGCCCAGGTTTTTAAACCCTATGGTACTTCTAGACAACGCATGTAAATTTACAGTATACAATTTGGATTCACCATGCATGAATACTTTGTGTGTAACATTTAATAAGCTCAATCTACATCCAGAATAATTTACATGAAAGGACAATATTTATTTAAACAGAGCTCGATGGGGTAACCATGGTATCATCAGAGTGCATCCAGAGGAAAAAAGGGAGGAGGGGCCAAATGAGACTCAATCAACGACACTCCCACACCTTTACTGTTTGATCTACACTGCCAGTAACCACATATGGGGCCGTCTTATGGAAATCTGAAAAAAAAAAGAAAAGGCTTACTTTAAAATCAGATTGAGCCACAGACAATGTTTAATAAGGCACAAAATAACACGTTCAAATGCCAGGAATACCCATTTTTTCTTCTATTCAGCCACACATCCACCCCAAGCAGATGTATCACAAGCTTACCAACTAGGTAAGGGAAACTGAAACAATGAAATCCTATATTAAATCTCTGAAGAAAAATACCTCCCCCACTATCCTCTTTCCAACTGAGGTTGAATAAACACTGAATTCTAACAGCAGGGACAGCCTCAATGCAGCCATTTACTGAACATTTACTATGCTCAAGGCTTAGTATTAATGCTTTATATTCACGTTTAATCCTCCCAACAATTCTGTAAGGTTTAAGCATTAGCCCTATTCTACTGCTCCATCTTCATTATTAGATCCATAATACCCTAGTGTATTATATTTACTATCTTAAATTCTAAATTCAGGTCCAGATGATATTGAGGATGTTTATTAAGTGTAAATACAATTCTGAGTTCCCAGTACATGGGAGTATATACATGCCAGAGGAAAAAGGTTAAGATTTCCTTTGAGAAACTTACAAACTAGAAGGGAAGAAAAATTACCCTTCGGAGTGGTTAGTAAGCATCCTCTTCATAATTCTAGTTTCCAAAACCAATGTTGTGCAATGGAGAAAGTAATTGTTTTATTATAACAATTATAATAAATTATAATAAATTGATGATGGAGAGAGTTAAGGAAAGGAGAATTTCAAACAAACAGTAGGAATCCGTAAGGTCTTTTAACCTGTCTTCTCTATTCTGCCCTGAAAGCCCATCTTCATTTCTTACCTGGAAACATCCATAGGGTCAGATTAAACTGTTAGGTCTGGCACTCCAAAACCTAACTGCTCAGAAACCATGTAACTCGTACATACCCAAGGAGGTAACAAAGTGTTCATGCGCATTGAGGGTCTTCATGCATCGTTTGTTCTTGTAATCCCACACACGCAGGGTCTTGTCATCAGCGCAACTCAAAATAAACTTCCCCCCAGAATGGAACAGAACTCCACGTACCCAGTTATCATGACCCACCTTAAAAACAAAAAGTTGTATGACTTAATAAAGGGATAAATAGTTTAAACAGCATCTATGAAAACAGACTGAAACTACATGCACTAAAAATGTCAATGCCATAAAGGCAAAAGGGGGAAAAAAGTCTAGGGAATCCTTCTAGATTAAATGAAATTGGAAACTAACAAGATATGACCAGTAAATGCAACACATATAATACTTAACTAGTTCCTGGATAGTGGCTAAAATACTTATAAAGTACACTACTAGGGTAACTAGAGAAAATTTAAATATATAATGTATTAAATTTCTTCAGTGTGACAACTTTATTAAGGTTTTATAAAATATACTTTAGGAAATACATGTCAAAATATTTGGGGTCAAGTGTCATGGTGTCTACAGGTAACTTTCAAACTGTTCAGCAAAATCTACAATACACATATGGAGAAAAGAAAATGTTGACAACTGGCAACTCTAGATGAAGGATATGTAGGTATTTATTGCGTATCTTTATTCATCCATTCATCTACCTATATCCCCTGTCCAGCAGTTTCATTTCTTACAATTTATCCTAAGAAATAATTAAGAATGTGTAAGGTGACTAATTAGTTAACAAAGATGTTCAACAAAGCACTGTATGTACTGAGTATATCTAACAACATGAGCAAATACCACACACCTAAGTTAAAAGTCTATTGCAAAACAGTATGTATAGTATACCATGTTCACATGTTTTTAAAAAGCCACCATATTCATCTACATAGTAGTTTTTTTTTTTTAACATAGTAACTTAAGAAGAGAGTTTAGAGTAGTCCAGTCCAACAGGATAGCCATTAGCCATGTATGGCTATTTAAATATAAACTAGCATTAAACAATTCAGTTTTTCAGTCTCACTAGCCACATTTCAAATGCTCAATAGTTGTCTGTAGCTAGTTGCGATCATGCTGGACAGTGCATACGCAGAACATCAACACACAAAATTCTAATGGACAGCTCTAATCAAATATACTTGGTAGTTATTAGTAGGTACGGTAAAGTGATCTGAGGGTGATTTTCTTCTATTTTCTTTCCTTTATCTGTTTATTTCTCAAATTTTCTACAATGTAAATAAACTATACTGCTTTTGTAAAAGAACACCCAAAAAGAGCTAACAGTTAAAAAAAAAAATGATCAAGGCGATACATCTTTGTCTTCGGTTTACTTTTCCTTCTTTGTTCTTATTTAAAACACTTTGTTATATTACAGTGATCTCTAAAAGCCACCCACCAATCACTAGAGTTGTAGAAGATTCAATAAAAATCAAAAAACGTTTCTTGGAGCCACACCAAAATAAAGCAGGAAAAAAGAATCTCTTTCAGTTGAAAAACAGGAGGCAGAAACCTCCAGGGAAATTAATGGTGACCTGTGTTGTTCCAGAAGAAGAGAGCACATGCTTTCTGATTTTTAAATGTAGATCATGTTTTCAAACAGCAACATAGTATTTTTGAACTCAGCTCAGAATACTAAGAGGAAAGTTTAATTTTCTAATCAGTTCTTCTTTTTAAAATATACTATCAATTTTTTTTTTAAATTAGAAATCTAGCATTCTAAGAATGCCAATCAGTTCCTGATGATACTTCCATATGTGTCTACCATATCCCATAGACAAGACAGTCGCTTCAAGATACGATTAACACCTAAAGAACCTCTAAACAAATATTCATGCCAAATTATAAAAGCTGCCACTGGATTAATGTCCATGGATGCCCTCAGAACTCCTGAAGGCAAACAAGAATGTCCATAGTATCTTCTTATAATTTATATATCCTCATACTAAAATCTAGACGAAATAGGCTCCTAAATGAAATAAAGATCTCCAAGTCATACAGCTAATACTGTTCATGTCTGAATGCTTAAAATAACCAAATAAAACTGGAACATGAGAATAGATAGTAAGTTAAAAGGATTCATTTTAAAAGTAAATATGAGATCAAGCAGTTTCAAAAAATATAAATGAGTCTGTAATATTTGTTTTCAACATATTTCATAGGAGATATTACATAATTTTAGAGATACAATGACTAGAATCTCCCTCCTAGCACTGACTGGCTTTGCAGATCCACTGTATAATGTAATATTCTACAGAAATAACCTCCATATCACTGTAATCATGCTCTTAACCAAAAGTATCTTTATAAAGAAGTTATTTTAGAACTTCAAATAATTGAGCGCCTCCGGCGGCGCCGCAGTGACCTCGGCGGCCCCACGCAGCCGCTCCCTCGGCGGGGCTGTGGGGACCGTGGCGTCAGGGGCCCGGGCGGCTCAGTCCACCTTCAGCATCCCCAACAGCAGCAGCGGCCCGTATGGCTCGCAGGACTCGGTTCACAGCAGCCCGGAGGATGGCGGCAGCAGCGGCGGCAGGGACCGGCCGGCAAGCGGGGGTCCCGGAGGGCCGCGCCTGGTGATCGGCTCCTTACCAGCTCACCTCTCGCCGCACATGTTTGGAGGATTTTAGTGCCCTGTATGCTCAAAATTTGTACCCTCAGATGAAATGGATTTGCATCTTGTGATGTGTTTAACAAAGCCAAGAATAACCTATAATGAGGACGTACTGAGTAAAGATGCTGGGGAATGTGCAATATGCCTTGAAGAACTGCAGCAGGGAGATACTATAGCACGACTGCCTTGTCTATGCATATATCATAAAGGCTGCAATGGTTTGAAGTAAATAGATCTTGCCCTGAGCACCCTTAAGATTAAGCATCAGCCTCCTGGTCTTATAGGTTTCCTTGACGTCAGGATGCTTGAAAAACCAAGAGGATATGATCTGTCTCTGGAAAAACAAAAACAAAAATGCAGGCACACCCAGCCAGATATCTAAGTTCTGCGAGACTCAGTAATGCAGAGATGGACAATCATATAGGAGAAAAAAATCCTGCTGAAGAGAGGACAATTGCCACAGAACACATGTATGTACCATACATGCATATAAAGGACACACAGGGATTTTGAAAATGCTGCACATCCCTTAGTAGTCATCTACATAGGTAATACTGATGAACATTTTGTATTCAGACGCCAAAGTTAACTGATTTAAAAGTTGATTTACTTTTTATTAAGTTCTCTAGGGCTGCACAACTACTTGTGTTTGATTTGTTTTGGTTTTTAGTTTGGGGACCCTTTATTTTCCCAACATGATGTTCCTGCATTCATCAGTTCTTAAATTGAAGACCACGTAATTTACTTCTTAAAAATTAAAGTCTTAAATGTGAAACCAAGAAATGTAATCAAGCAGTAAAACTTTCTCTGAATGTAAAAAAAAAAAAAGAACTTCAAATAATTGAGATTTACTAGGAAATCACAAGGCACCTGACCCCAAAAGATATGCACAGAGTAAAAATGCAAAAGCAGCAGTGAAATTATGCAAACTCACCAGAGTCATAAGGCACATGCCAGTACTGACATCCCACATCTTGATAGTCTTGTCCCTGGATCCGGACAGTAAGAATGGCCCAGGTTTGCCACTTTTTTTAGTCTATAGAAAACATATAAAATCAAATTTCCTGGGCAAGAAGTTAGGTGACTTAAATGACAACTACCCAACAATGATCTGTATTTCTAATTTTGTAAAAATGCATTTTTTGACAAAAACTATGTGTATTTTAGGCATACCACTTATGTTCTGAGCTATGTATACAAATGATTACTACCATCAAGCTAATCAACACAATCATCACCTCAAATTACCACATTTGTGAGTGTTCTGTGAAAAGAACACTAAAGATGTACCCTCTCAGCAAACTTCAAGTATACAATACAGTACTGTTAGCTACAGTCACCATGCTGTACATTAGATATCCAGGACTTATTCATCCGAGGTCACAAAGAGTTGGATATGACTGTTACTGCCCCAGCCGCAATGAATCTATGATGTCGTACGTAACCACCACCAGGTGGCAGTAAGAAGAAAAAACCCAAAACCCTGAAAATGCAACTAGCCAGCCAATTAGCAAGAAATTACCCAAACAGCTTCATTTTGAAAAATAACTGGTGGGGGCAGGTGAGGGTGAGAGTCTTCATTTATTAAGATTAAAAAAAAAAAAAAAACACCCCACAATAGGAACGTCGCCATAAAAAAGAAATGTCAATTTTGGCTCATACAACTTATTTACAGAAATAATTATTCTGTAATTTTAAAAGTATTAATTACAAAGAATGAAATCATGAGGAGCACAAATGATCAAGAACATCAGAGGACTCCATATGAAATATTCTTCATTTAAAACAAATGCTATTCTTGTTTTTACTTTTTGGCCATGCCACATGGCATGTGGGATCTCAGTTCCCTGATCAGGAAGCTGAGTCTTTTAACCACTGAACCACCACTGAAGTCTTGAGAAAAGCTTTCTCCTAGAAAATGGCTTTAACTTCTCCCATAAGTTTTATTTTGTATTGGTATACTCTCAAAACAGGGACAATTATAATTAATTTATGATTAATTTAAATGACCACTCCACTTACCCTAACCCTAGCACACATCAAGGGTCAACTGACAGCAACAATAATCACTGGTTAAAAAATATAAACACATCTATCTGCAAGTTGGAAAGAATTTCAAGACTCAGAATTCTGAATGCAGATTTTATAATGCATTAAGTGCATGAAACAGAGATTCGGGGAAGGTCATTTAAGGTTCACAAATAATAACAGCCACAAAATCATGAAACAACACAAATCATACAGTACCTCAGATCCTGTTGCTTCAGAGATGGAAGAATATGAGCTTTCGGGAGCCCAGGAAATGCATTCTACCACATGCTCATGTTCTCGAAGCTCAGCCTTGCATTCCTTTGTTGCTACGACCCACACACGCACAGTCTGATCATTGGAACAGCTGGCTATCAGAGTGCCATCTTGATTTGGCCGCACCATACGTACCCATTCTCTATGTCCTGTAAATGTCTTCACACAGTAGCTGTAAAAAATACATAATAATTTACACTGTGAACAGCAATCACTGGGACCCTTCCCAGAAGCGATACAAAACTAGCTATGCACTGGAACGAAGAGAATTGCCATCATATGCAAGTCAACAGAATACACGTACATTCCTGGTTAATAAAAGAGGAAGACAGGCTGGAAAGTCAAACATCAGTTAAAATAAGCTGATTGAAGTATCATTAAAGAGCTAACCAAGTCAAAATCTAGAAGAAAAAAAAATAGAAATATAATCTTTTAACTAAGCACACACAGTAAACCTAACAAAAATATTTCTAGCCATGTTGGGGAAAAGGCATGCTCTTACTAATCTGGACAAAACCAGTAGGTTAAGGTTTATTGTAACAGTCATGTAATTCTAAGCACAACCAAATTAAGCCTAATGGGGCATACCTGCACAAATGTTATTTACATTTTAATTCAACTCTGAGAGATCACCTAAAAGAAGACCACAGAGAAAATAAGCCATTACACAGAAAATGGCTCTCAAGGATATAGAGTTTCTTCCATAATTTCTCTGTTCCTTTTGGGTAGACATTTAGAGATTAAAACTTAAGTTTTAAAATGTTCTGTCATGGTAATCATTCTAGGTTACAGCCAAATTTACTAGAACAATCAGAACATAGTTTTGTTGTGTATTATTTCTTTAAGCTGATGCCTTTTCAACTAAATCTACTTACCCAGTTTGCACTTCCCACATTTTTATAGTTTTATCCCTTGAGGCAGATACTATATGATCTCCATTGGGCATGATGGCTACTGAAGAAACATTGTGGTCATGGCCTAAAACACAAAACACAGTTAACATATTAAGTAATATATCACCAAGAGCAATTAAACCTTAATTTACCATGAGATTTCATCACAGGATTTCAAGTATCACAGCTACTTTAAATACAATGGAGTTCATATAAATTTGATAAGAAACTTGGATTTACACAAAAACGCAATGGAATGTTAAGGAATTAGTAACTTAATAAAACAATTCATAATGAAATAAGTAGCCAGCTCAACTTACATTTCCACCTGCACAACTGTTTTAACACATTATTGCCTGGATACCTATTAACGCCATAGGGTGTTCATTTCTGCAACACCCTCCCAGCCAATAATGTGTTAAAATCACAGGTAATTAGTGCCATCAGCATTTGAATATATTAATACACTGGATGTTTTTGAGCACTAAAAAACAAACAAAACAAAAATTTCCATGGTTGCTATTCTAAGATATAAAATAGAAATGAGATTTACAGAAACGAACAGAATGAATAAGAAAAATGGGCGTTTGGTTCTATGTAGAAACTAGTGGTTGAAAGTTTTGTTTTTTGTGTTGATGTGCACAGGAGCAAAAAAAAAAAAAATATATTCATAATGCTAGTTAGCTATCCTATGGCAAAAAAGCCCCAGAATATTCTCTTAAGTATCACATCATTTAAAGGAATATACAATGACTGGAAAGAACTCTTTAAAGTCAGAGCAATAAGATACAGGCTACCTAACAAAACAAACACAGATTTTACAAAGAGATTGAATAAAACTCCTTTAACTGGTAAACTTCTCTAATGCACTTAAATTGGGGAGCGGGGGGCGTACTATTCAAATTACACCATCTATGTAATTGCATAGCTTTCTCAGGTGCTAACATCACTGGATAAACTATTTAAAAATAGTTTATTATTAACACAGTATGTGTTCCTTATATAAAATCCAAACATCCATATTTTATCATGTTTTAAAAAACAACAAAAATCCTTATTTAGTGACCACCTCCTATGTACCAGGTACTAAACCAGATGATTCAAGCATACAATCTCATTATCTTCACAAGTCTTACGGCTTCAATTCTTAATTCAATACTTAAGTTTTATTAATCTTACAGATTAAAGAGGTTAAAATTTCCTAACGCCATAAGTAAACAAGTAGGATTCAGAATCCAGGTATCTGATTTCAAAGCCCATGCTCTTTCCAGAAAGCCAAACTGCTTCAGAAAATAGTCTCTAGGACAAGGAGAAGATAACAATGAGACTACAGTTTATGTGGGATATTAAAAAGTGAGCAAGGGAACCTGGGTTCCAGCTTTTACTGTATCTACTCTCTAAATTCAGTTTCCCAATTGAGAAAAATGAAAAACAAAAAGAAAAAAACAACCTCAGTAACTTCATTTTCTCTTTTTCTCAAGAACGGATAGATGCCCTAGCAGTTTTTCTCGTCCAAAAATATTTGTGAAAGTAACTATTTTATAACCATAAGAGACACTTCCCCAGTGGCTCAGTGGTAAAGAATCCACCTGCCATGCAGCAGACACAGGAGACGCAGATTCAATCCCTGGGTCGGGAAGATCTCCTAGAGAAGGAAATGGCAACCTATTCTAGTATTTTTGCCTGGAGAATCCCAGGCACAGAGAAGCCTGGTGGGCTCCAGTCCACAGGGTCGCAAAGACTTGGACACAACTACAGTGACTGAGCACGCAAGCACGAAGAGATACTTAAAACCTCAAAACAGACAACTCTCAATGACCATGACGATCCATGGATTATCTCTATCATATGCTCCCCCCCTGACACAGTAAGGACTGAATGAAGGGAACCTGCACATTGTTAGAAAAACTTATCCTTCTCCCTGCTGCAGTACTATGTTAGAAACCATTATCCTTCTCCCCCCCGCAGTACTATGTTAGAAACCGTTATCAAAATGCTACGCCTTACCATGCATGGTTCTGATGCATTCAAAGCCCTGAAAATCCCATAGCTTAATGGTCATGTCTGCAGAACATGAAGCCAGAAGCTTGCCACTGTGGTCGAATGAAATATCCTGTACAGAGTCTGTATGCCCCTTAAGAGTTCGTTCAAAATCTCCAGTCTCATAATCCCACACCTGTCAAGTGAACAGAAAATCGGTTAGCATCACATCATTCCTTTCTCAGTTCACATTTGCACTCGGCACGCCAGTCTGGCACTTTACTAACCGAGCAAGTAACAAAGGATAACTGTCTTAGAATCATCACATCTTCAAGCATAAATTGGTCTTTTCTTTACAGAGGAAAACAATTATTAAATAAACCTCTAAAAACACATTTAATCTAATCATGCTAGTGACTGCCACAGGACAGAGTCCTGTCTCAGCCTGACAGCAGGCGACAGACAGGTTAAAAAGTAAATGTAAGTACCAAAAGAAGAAAAAAAAAAATTCATGAGCCTATGACATGAATTTATATGTAGAATATTAGGGGAATGATAAAGGAATACCCAATTCTACTAGACAAGCAGAGCTCAGACATCTAAGAAGCCAAAGAAAGACTTTACAAGATGTAACTGTCTTTAAATAGCAGATTAACAGAAGCATATGGTCATTCTGATGTAAAAGCACTGAGCCACAGTCACATTTTTAAAGGTAATTTTTCTAAGATGATAAAAATAATGAACTATCAAGAATAATAATTATTATAAACACATCTCAAGAACACACTTAACTTCTATTCTGGTGGTCAAATGCTAGTCTTAAGTCTGTAACTAAAACTAATTACGTACGTGCTCTAAAATCAAATGGCTGATTCCATTCTTCCTTGGCATTCTGTTTAAATTCAGTCATAGTTCTAGCAAATTTCTGAAGAATCCTTGGAATTTTCTACACAGAAAATCATGTTATCTGCAAGTAACATTTGCAGGTAATACTTCTTCCTTTCCAATCTGTATGCCTTTTATTTCTTCTCTACTGCACCAGCTAGGCACTCTAATACAAAGGTGGATTTAAGTGGTCATTGATCCCTGGACTCAAGGGGGAAGAACTGCTTTCCACCATTAAGTATTAATATTTAGTCCACTGTGGGTTTACCAGATACCTTTACCTTTTATCAGGCTATGGAAGCTCCCTCCCTAGCTTGTTCAGAGTTTTTATCATGCTTTTCCTGAACCTATGTTTTTTTTTTTAACTGATATGGTATATCACACCAATTAATTTTTAAATATAGAACCAATCTTGCATTTCGGGATGAACCCTACTTGGTTATGACATACTAATTACCCCGTTTATGAACTGCTGGATTTAATTTGCTTATAATTTGTTAAGGATTTTGCATTTATGTTCATGAATGTTACTGTATCAGTCCACAGGTTTTTTTTTTTTTTGGTATTATCTTTACCCATTTTGATATCTAATTGTTTCAACACCAAGAGTTCAGGTGAATACTTTACATTCTGAACGGTAAGGTGTGACATTGAAGTTCACTTTCATTTCAGTTAACTTTGTTTCCATGAATTCATTAAAGAACATTAAAGCATCTTCCTCTAAAATATTAATAAATATACCCAGAACCATGTCTCTTCATAAATGGTAAGCAAACACGGTAATGTAGTGTTTATAAATGTCAGGAATTAAAGATAATCAATTTTTTCTCTACTGAATATTTACCTTTTGTATGATTATAAAATAAATGCTCATGATAAAAAAATCTATAATGTACTGATATAAAGGCAATAAAAATATCCACTCTCCTACCAATGGTATGATTTTTCTGTTTTTTTCTATGCTTTTTTTTTAAAAAGTACAGTGACTATGTATACTTCATTAACCCAATTTTTCCTTTGTGTCTTATTGTAAGAATTTTTCCATGCCATTAAAAATTTCTTTTAGCAAATGTTCTTTTAGAACTAATTCCTATTATTTTCTAAATAAAAAGTAAATTTTTTTCATTACTGTAGAAAACGTTATAGTGAAAACTTTTGAATATTGAAAAATATCCATCCTCATTCTGCAATACTTAGGTCAGACAGTGATGGTTGAAAAAGAATTTTGAGTCAAAAACTAAGTTTTTTAGCCCTTCAAATATTCTGCTAAAATTGTTCTCTTGTAAGACTGTATCAAATGTAATGACAAGGCCTGCTTCATCAAATTCTTCTTTTTTTTTTTGCTTCATCAAATTCTTACCACAACTGGGAACTCTCATTTAAAAAGTAAAATATTGGGGGCTTCCCTGGTGGCTCAGTTGTCAAGAATCCACCTGCCAATGCAAAAGACACAGGTTTGATCCCTGATCCAGGAAGATTCCACAGGCTGCGGAGCCAACTAAGTCCGTGTGCCAACTAGCCTGTGCTCTAGAGCCTGGGAGCTGCAACTATTGAGCACACACGCCACGACAACTGCAGCCTGCACTCCACAGCGAGAAAAGCCATCACAATGAGAGGCCACACAATGCCCGCAACTAGAGAGTACCTCCTGTCTGCCACAACTAAAGAAAAGCCAGCACAGCAATGACCACCCAGCACAGACAAAAACAGAAATAAAATAAAAAATAAGTAAAAAAACTAAAACTAAAATAGCTTGCTAGATTCCACATGTATTTTAATTTACATTTCTTCTATTCTTAGTGATGAGGCCAAAGCTCTATTCTTGGTTCTACTGAGAATTCCATGGACAGAGGAGCCTGGAAGGCTACAATCCACGAGGTCGCAAAGAGTTGGACATGACTGAGTGACCAACATTTTCTACTATCAGTAATGAGGCCAAAGCTCTATTGTTGGTTATTTTTCCTTCCTCTATGAATTACCTGTTCATGTCCTATAGTCCACTTTTTCTATTGAGATGTTACTGTTTATCATACTTGTTTGAATTCTATAAAGTTCGCAATCCGTCCTCTGCTTTACTAATTGAAGGTATTTTTTCAGTTTTGTTTGCTGTTTTTCTTAATATTTAAGAACTAATTCTAAGTGACAACCAGAAATAACGTTTCAGAAATTTAAATGATGCAATTAAAAGTCATTAAAAATGACCAAAAATGATGATTTCATTAGAAACAAAGAAAAGTATTTCTAAAATAAGTTTAATCAAAAAAGGAAATAAAAACTACAAATGCTTGTCATTAACAAAACAGCCATGTATACACATTAAATAAAGACTAAATGGAAGAGAGAATTTTAGTAGTTGTTGAGATATGTGTTATGGTTATATATCAAACTTCTAAAACTTCCATTTGTAATATTTTAAAGTTGACTCAATAGATGGCACCTTAGCAGTTTTGTTTATGTTTTTATACCACTGCTGCAAAATCAAAGGTTAAGACTGAGCTTTCCATCTATTTGACAAGCCTATCTTAACCCCATGCTTCATGACAGGAGTGCAGTTTTAAGTAGACAAGACTATCATAAAGTTAATGAATTAAATACATGTCAACATAATTTGAAAGATAATATATTAGTCTATTAGATAGGTAGTCATCTCAGCCTACAGAAATATGTAATGCAAATATGTATATAAGACTCTCTTCAAATCACTTGGCAGCATGCCCCATCGATCACCAGCCCACAGAAAGAAAGGAGGCCACTAATTTAGAAACTAAAGCAACCACAAAAGGAAAACATACAACCTGTTTAATTTGAAGAACGGGTTAAGTACATACATTTAAGTCATGCCAACATTATATGCTGACTGTTGCTATGTGATAAATACAACCTTGGCAATCTACTCACATTTTCTTAGCTATACCTCTACAAATGAAAGTTAAAATCTACAACTAAATCTGAAATAATCTTTAGAGAAATGTACTTAAAATTTTAAAACCATGTTTTACTCATCTTTCTGTACATGGTTTATACAACTGTCACTGTATTGTGTCTGAATCAAAGGAAACTATAAAAACAACTTTTTTCCTTATTAAAAAAGTCCTCTATTGAATTTTTTTGCACAATACATTCATCCCCTGAATTACTAGTTTTATAATCCTATATTTGCATCTATCACTTCTGCTTATCCGTTCAGTTCAGTCGCTCAGTTGTGTCCGACTCTTTGTGACCCCATGAACCGCAGCACGCCAGGCCTCCCTGTCCATCACCAACCCCTGGAGTCCACCCAAACCCATGTCCATTGAGTCGGTAATGCCATCCAACCATCTCATCCTCAGTCATCCCCTTCTCCTCCTGCTTATAAATAAGGCAAATACTTACACTTCCAGTCTTCAAGAAGAAAAGTTACTCAAGCACTAGGTGACCTATCATTGTCCAATGTTAAATTGATGACACCCAATTTTCTCAAATTAACATTTAAAGTTGCTTTTAACAATTATCCTATTGTACATCTTTCAATTTTGAAAGAAAAACTACCTTAATTGTAGCATCCTCTGAAGCAGAGACCATAACACTGAAAACAGGATGGAAAATGACTCGAGTGACTGGACTCCTATGACCACTCAATGCATATTTTTCTGGTGGACGGGGAATCCATTCTTTTGGGTCTCTTTTTTGACCAAGAGGTCCACCCGACGTAAATTCTTCTTTTGCTTCATTTAGCTTTGATTCTAATTCCATAACCTAAGAAGGAACACACAGCAGTTATATACAGATAGATTCTGATAAAATTGTATATCTGGTATTTTTTAAAACTGCCTTTATTCTGCATCCATATATGCAGAATAAAATTTTAGCAATTTACAAAGCATTTGTTAGATTTAACTGAAAATTATCTGTATTACATATCATTAAAATCTTAGTGGGGTGGCAAAACTGCACACTGAGAAAAACTCAATACGATTGTGTCTTAACCCCTTAACTCAAAGCAGAATTTGGAAGGTGCTGGATACAACTTGAGGAAGAGAAGGAAACCTATCTTTATCCCTTCTAATTCTGCCACCCTTAGTAAATCCTTTCCAAACTTCGTTTACATTGTACCTGTTAACCAGAATATTCATAATAAAAGCTAACATTACTGACATCTATGTGCCAAGCACTTTCCTAATAAGGGCTTTTTATGGATTAAACCATGTTATAACAACATTATTCATTCTAACTTTGCCTACTTAAAGTACAAATTTTAGGACCAGAATATTACTTACTGCCCTCACTTAGCAGATCAAAGCTCAGAGAAGAAAATGAAACTAAGAGCACATTTTAGTGCTCTTTTCCTAGCATCATATTGGTTCCATGTGTTCTTCCCATCTAAGTGTATAAATGGGTTCTTCAGTACCAATTCCTTGAAGTCAGGGCTGTGTTACATTCAACCCAGCCAGTACTCCTGTTTGCATACGTTAGCAATGTACCAGCAATGGTCTGTATATGTCATAATGCATAGAAATGTATTTTTATTTACCTTTTTTAAGGTTAAACATAATTGCTAATGCAGAAAAAAATTTATTATGTTGATACTTTCAAAGTTTATATTTGATTTTGTTACCTTCTTTTGTAATCTAATAACAGATGTCCATTTTTTTTCCAAAAGACCAGCATATTTCTTATCTAATTCTTCATTCTAGAGAAAAAAAAAAAGTAGATTAAAAAAAAAAAAAAAAGAAAAAAGGGCTCAAATACAAAAGCTCAAGCCATACACACCATTCAGTCTCTAAGCCCAAACATTATCTGATCACACAAAGAAGGTGTGTATCAGGGGGTGAATTTCAAGTTCAGTGCCAAGTAAAACCATAACAAATGACAAGATTTTGAATAACTGAGGTGACTGCTAACTACTGATACTTCAATAAAACCTACTCATCAACTATATGAGTAACTGTAAAAAGTCAAACATACCATATCTAATTCAGCTTCCTTTTTAAAAACTGAATATGCTTCTTCATAGCCATTTGAACGAAGATAATCTGCTATAGCTCGATTTCTGAAAGACAATAAATTCAAATGACTCTTAATAAACTCTCATTTCCATGCTGAAGAAAGTATTTTTTAAAAACTTTCATAAACCTTAAGACACTCTTATTTTAAGATTACCCTTCAAATCATACAATCATAAGAAAATGAACCACCAACCCCACAAAAGCCTCTAAAATAGTTAACCCTTCATAACATCCGTAAGACTGTAACACTATTCTTGAACTTTTAGTTATATTTCTAATGCACTGTTTACAAGTTGTAAGATCAAGACCTGGCTTATATAACTAGTTATCATTTTGTGACAGTAATTATCAATTTTGTTCATGTTTACACTTAGCCCTCCCGTACTATTAATACTTGTTATTCTTACACACACTCAAGGACTAGCAAGTGAAATTTACTTTTTTAAGGAGAATTGTTCTGCTAAAATTATAATTAGTATTTTAATATCAGAGACAACTTTAAACCATGAGAGTGGGTGGGAAAAAGGCACAAGCTACAAACAATACAGTATCATAGAATGAGAAATTAATTCAAAATTATAAGGTTAGAACATCACATTTGTGGGCCATGGGATTGAAGAAAGTATAGTATTATTGTGAGTCTGTGTGTGCTTCTCATAAGGCCGTACCTTCTGGCCTGTTTTATTAATGGATAAATTAATGATTCCTTCAGAAATAAATTCTTTACATGAACCTGTAAATAGTACTACTTTGTAATTTCCAAGCAGTTCTATTTGGGCCTTCTGAATACAAATAGAAAGGCAATGACTCTCTCAAGATAATTTCATCAAATACTGTGCTGTCAAAGCCTATATTACAAACTAACTTTCAACAAATAAATTACCCTTTGCTAAGAATATCCCAAATGGTAAGGAAAACAAAGACGCTAAAAGACATCTATCTATCTTTCAGCTTTATTTCCTTCTCCAGGCAACAAAGGGGAAAACATCAAGGGTTTAAAAAATCTTATGTAGTATTTGTAAATATTCACTGTTCCTACGCAGCTCTACCCCCTCCTCAGAGTCAAGCCTGAGTGCTGGAACTTTGCCTGAACACACTGCACACAGCTTACAATTGTGAAGCTCATATAACAGACAATATGTACATGTAACATGTACAAATTATAGCAATTATTATCTTAATGGACTTTGTTTTGGTAAAGGATAGATAAATGATTATACTTTTATAGGTAAAAATTATTATTAAAGGGAGAAGAAACTGTATCCTTTCCCTTACTAAAAAAATCCCAATATTTTGCGATTAACACTAACATAGGTCAGCACAGGTCACTCATACCATTTTCTCTGCCTATACATTCACATCACCATGTATGCTTTAATCAAGTCACATATCTGTTCATTTCATTCAATACACTGAAAATCTGTCAGTAAATATTCATTTATGATATCATAGTTGTTAATATTCAAGCAATTAACAGACATACCAGATTTTATTTAAGCAATCATCTATTGCTAGACTTACAGGTTGTTTCCAATGTTTCAGCATTTAAAATAATGTTACAAATAAGTATTCATATAGTCAAAGTCTTTCAAACATCTTTACATTTAAGTCAAAAGATGCTACAGACTGAATATTTGTATACCCCACAAATTCTTATGTTGAAACCTAACCCCCCAAGTAACGGTGTTTGGAAGAGAGGCCTATGTGAGGACGTATAACGTGTATAAAAACTTTTCTATAGTTTTAAATCTGAAAAACAGCATTCACTGTCTCTTTTGATCCTAAAACCATGCTGCTATATTAGATAGAAAAGTGCATAACCCCTATATTACATAATTGAGAGACTGATACATTCAAGGTCATAAAACAGGTAGTGAAGCAATTTAGGATAATAATTCCATCAATATTTACTGAGCAGGTGGGGAAGAAACTGGCCAAGTAGGTGGAACACTACACCCCCCTTCTTTAACTGGAGTTGTTCAATTTTCATATACTTCCACATACTAAATTTCATAAATTTTTTTCCATAAATGTTTTTAAAGTGTTAGAAAGTCCAACACACAAACTTTTAAAAATCCAAATACAGCTGATTTATAATGTTGTGCCAATCTCTGCTGTATAGCATAGTGACTGAGTTATACATACACACAGACACTTTTTTAAAATATTCTTTTCCATTATGTTTTATCCCAAGAGATTGGATACAGTTCCCAGTGCTATACACTAGACCTTGTCGTATATCCATTCAAAATGAAATAGTCTACATTTACCAACCTCCAAGTCACAGTTCATCTCTTTCCCTCCCCCTCTCCCTCTTGGCAACCACAAATCTAATCTCTGTGAGTCTGTTTCTGTTTTGTATATAGGTTCATCTGTGCCATAATTTTAAGATTCCACATATAAGTGATATCATGTTTTTCTCTTTTTGACTTATTTCACTTAGTACTATAATCTCTAGTTGTATTCATGTTTCTGCAAATGGCATTATTTTGTTCTCTTTTATCACTGAGTAGTATTCCATTGTATATATGTATCACATCTTCTTTATTCATTCATCTACCAATGAATGGATAGGATGTTTCCATGTTTTGGCTTTTGTGAATAGTGCCGCTATGAACACAGGGGTACCCCTCTTTTTGAATTATAGATTTGTCCAGGTATATGACCAGAAGTAAGATTGCTGGATTATACAGTAATTCCATTTTTACTTTTTAAAGGAAACTCCATACTGTTTTCCATAGTGGCTGCACTAACTTACATTCCCACCAACAGTGTAGGAGGGTTCAATTTCTCTACACTCTCTCCAGCATTTGTTATTTGTAGACTTTTTAATGATGGGCATTCTGACCAGCCTACACACAAATTTTTGAAACCAAGAATGACTCACGCTTTTAACCAGTAGGCTTTTGTTTTGGTAACAGACTAAATGTGGGACATGGGAGAAAATAGTTGATTCACAAGTTTTTGGTACATGGTAATAAAATTTACTTGGACAGAAAACATAGGAGAAGAAGAGGGGGAAAAAAAGGGGAGGCAGGAATATAGTTAGTTCAGTTTTAAATCTTTTGACCTGAAGTGGCTATAAGACATTTAAGTGTAGATATATGATAAAGAAGGTAACTGAATATACAGATCAAAAGCTTAAGAGATGGATTTGATTTAAGGAAAGAATCTGGGAAAATTAGTAAATAAGTAGTAGTGTTTCAAACCATAAGTGGTAAAAGACACTTTGGAAGAAGGTACATAATGCGAAGATAAAAGGAAAGTAGACAGTAAATGACAGAACCTTGAGAGATATCAAACTTGTTAAGAAGCCATCAGAAAGTGAAGAATCCTGTTATAGTACAAGAATTAAGAGATGTCAGCAAGCCAATGGAGAAGGACGTTTCAAAGAAATGGAAATCACTACCAGTGACAAAGATCTGAGAGAGGTAAAATCTAGTTTAAAGAGTGACCAAGCAATCTGGCTATTCAGAGGTCGCTGCTGACTTAGCAAGTACAGCTTCAGAACGTAAAGTAGCCTCAGTATTCTACTCTACAATAAGGCTTAAAATGAGCACTGTAAAATACTGGAGTTGGGGAGGAGCAGTGAGACTTGAGAATACCAGGCATGTGTTCTCTATCCAATGGAAGTTAAATATCTAGTTAGTAACCATATTTACATTTAACAGTTTAGAAAAAGAGAGGTATTACATGGCATTCAGTTCAGTTCAGTCGTTCAGCCATGTCCTACTCTTTACAACCCCATGGACTGCAGCATGCCAGGCCTCCCTGTCCATTACCAACTCCTGGAGTCCACCCAAACCCATGTCCATTGAGTTGGTAATGCCATCCAACAATCTCATCCTTTGTCGTCCCCTTCTCCTCCTGCCCTCAACCCTTCCCAGCATCAGGGTCTTTTCCAATGAGTCAGCTCTTCATGGCCAAAGTACTGGAGTTTCAGCTTCAACATCAGTCCTTCCAATGAATATTCAGGATTGATTTCCTTTAGGATGGACTGGTTGGATCTCCTGGCAGTCCAAGGGACTCTCAAGAGTCTTCTCCAACACCACAGTTCAAAAGCATCAATTCTTCGGCACTCAGCTTTCTTCACAGTCCAACTCTCACATCCATACATGACTACTGGAAAAACCACACCCTTGACTAGATGGACCTTTGTTGGCAAAGTAATGTCTCTGCTTTTTAATATGCTGTCTAGGTTGGTCATAACTTTTCTTCCAAGGAGCAAGTGTCTTTTAATTTCATGGCTGCAATCACCATCTGCAGTGATTTCGGAGCCCAGAAAAATAAAGTCAGCCACTGTTTCCCCATCTATTTGCCATGAAGTGATGGGGGGAGGCCATGATCTTACTTTTCGGAATGTTGAGTTTTAAGCCAACCTTTTTACTCTCCTCTTTCATCAAGAGGCTCTTTAATTCCTCTTCACTTTCTGCCATAAGGGTGGTGTCATCTGCATATCTGAAGTTATTGATATTTCTCCCAGCAATCTTGATTCCAGCTTGTGCTTCATCCAGCCCAGCATTTCTCACGATGTACTCTGCATAGAAGTTAAATAAGCAGGGTGACAATATACAGCCTTGACATACTCCTTTTCCTATTTGGAACCAAGCTGCTGTTCCATGTCCAGTTCTAACTGTTGCTTCCTGACCTGCATACAGATTTCTCAAGAGGCAGGTCAGGTGGTCTGATTACTCCCATCTTTTTCAGAATTTTCCACAGTTTGTGGTGATCCACACAGTCAAATGCTTTGGCATAGTCAATAAAGCAGAAATAGATGTTTTCCTGGAACTCTCTTCTTTTTCAATGATCCAGCAGATGTTGGCAATTTGATCTCTGGTTCTTCTGCCTTTTCTAAAACCAGCTTGAACAACTGGAAGTTCACGGTTCATGTATTGCTGAAGCCTGGCTTGGAGAATTTTGAGCACTGCTTTACTAGTGTGTGAGATGAGTGCAACTGTGTGGTATTCTGAGCATTCTTTGGCACTGCCTTTCTTAGGGACTGGAATGAAAACTGACCTTTTCCAGTCCTCTGGCCACTGCTGAG